GTCTCACTTCACAGCCACCCCACCACCACCTCCACGAGCAGTGAACCCTTTATTGGCCAAGTACGTACACATACGAACGAGGACCAATTCCTACCAACTACTTATTATTGTGTCCTCCTCAGAGAGAAAGCCAAAAGAAAGAGTTTGCTGTTGTGTCGTGACTTTTAAATCGAGAACGAACCAGAAAACACTTCTTTCCAACAAGAGTAGTGTTCGACAATAAGTTCTGAAGATGAAGTCGTTTGTTTTCTACAAGTCTTATCAATTTCACAAAAACTTTGTTTGCCATTGTTTCTGTTCTCCTCAGCAGCAGCCGTGCTTCAAGTTTCGCAAGGTTTCCAATCATACACCGCAGCCCATTAAAAATTTAACTCTCTTGCTTGCTTTCACCTCTTTTAAACTGGAGAAGTCAGCGTAATAAAATACCATTAAATCCTCACTTTTTAGCAAAATCAAAAAGTTTAGAGAGAGCGAGAGAGAGAGAAAGTTTAGACTTTTTTCTGCTCTCTCACACTGATGATGAGGGAACCATTATTGTTTGCTCCACTCTTTGTATTTTGGTGTGGAAAACTCGTCTTTGCAAATCCCTCCTTTGTGTGGGAACTGGATTCTCTAATTTGCTTAAGCCTAGCTTTCGATTCCATTTCATTGGACTTTTCTGTCTGGCAAAAGGGAATCCTAATCGCAACTCTGTCTTCACGGGACTACTTTCATGAATATGTATTTCAACGTCAATGCAAAGTTTTGAGGAGATTACCTGCAACGATGGACATTTATCTGGTCTGCATAACTCTCCCCCTTTCGTGCGTATATATTCTTATGCACATATCATGATATCCCAAAACTTTCAACCTTTCATTGCGAAATTACGATTGTTTTTCATTGCCTGCTAAAAACAACATTTCTCAAGCGTACGTATTTTCACAAACAACTTGCTAACTGTGACTGTTTCCAAAATATTAATTGAAAAACTTGTAATTAAAAAGATATTAGTAAAAAAAGAGTGGTTTTATCAAGCTGAAACATGATATGAATGTATGTGATGCACATATTTACCTTTATTTTAGTTAGTTTTTAAGACTTGGTAAAACTTCCCGAAGGATTTTGTACCAGTTTAAAAGTCCATTTTAAAATTGGGTAGAAAGTTGAGTGGCCGTCGTCCCATCGGACCCTCATTCCCGTTTTCCTTCTCAACGTGTATCTCTGCCCTGGGAGTAGAAAGTGAAACCTAAGTGTTCAACAACCAAGCCAACTTTTGGCCCTCATATTCCCTGACCACTCTGTAATGTCAAGCACTTTAAAACTACCCAAAATTTCATGTTTCGGAGTTCAGGGTAAAAATGTGCTTCTTAAATTGCAAGAGCATCTACGAGTTAACCTAGAATTGCTCGAATCTCAAATGTACATCTTTCTAAGAACTGATTATTATCCACAGCGCTTATCATCTACGTACTTTATCATATTTCAGGGATCTGTGACTTTCACTCACTGTTAATCCAGGGATACGAGTATAACAAATTCCGAGTTTAGCATGTACAACAGGTATTCATATACGCAATGAGATCAGTGTATACTCATAGTTGGTGCAGCAAGGATGAAACCAGCCAGAAATTGAAACCTTGGCTTTCCGTTTGTTCTCTCGTTTTGTCCTGGCATCTGAAAGGCAGAGAACGGGGACAGGAGACGAGCGAGTATCAAAAAACTTTAGCAATTTCTCAAAAGACATTTTCTTAAACTTTTGCATAATCGTGCACGTTTATTATTTAACTCTACTGACTGAGAGACAGAGGTTCTTGCCAAGTCTGTCATATCCTGAAGCAGAAATTTAATATCTAGCTCTTGCTCAGGAGCCCGGACCTCGAAGAAAAGATATGGTTAAAAATGAAGTTTTTTATTGTGGGGTATGAAGTGCCACATTGACAAACGCGATGGAGACCATGATTGCAACTTTTACGATTATTTACTGCAGACCTTCGCTTATTATTACAGCAGTGTTAATTTGAATGACTTTCACAAGTATCTCGCCGTTGCCGTCGTATATAACCAGCCACCTCTACGCAGAAGGGAAAAAGTGAAAGCCGAGTGGTGGCACTTGTATTAAACTGTGCCACTTTATACCACCTTTTGGTGTTCTACTCTTTTTTCTTATGCAAATCGTGTCATTTCCATGATAATTTTCTTCCCCTTCGCCACTTTATACGTCGCACTAGAGACTAACTAACCCGCAACAACGCTTTCCCTCTCCTTCTCCTGATGAGCACAGTAAATTCTAATTCAACAAATATCACAAACCTTCTCTCCAAGCCCCGCAAAACCCTGCCGTGCTCACTTTCTCGTTTCATTTCATATTGGTAAAAGCACCCTCGAATCCCAATATTTCTGCATGACAGAAACAGTAGAGTAATGTGGCAGCACCACCACGGCTCCCTTTCCTTTGATGATTCTTCTTGTCATATGTATAAGAAGGAAGGAGTAGTGAATACGCATTTTGAAAAATGTTGTTGGAAAATTGGTGTAAAAATTGTCTCCACACTCGTTCGAAAGGCAGAAGAAGAGAGGGATGCGGATTTGAACTCGTACTTGAAAAGAATTGCATACCTACTTGCGTGTGTACGTGGATGGCGGTGGTTGCAGTCTCTCTTTCTCTCGAGTAGCCAATTTGATTAAGCCGAGCCCTTCATTTCATTTGACGATGTGGAAAATAAATTTTACCTGGCGGCGTTCGTCCTTCCTTTCGACGCAACTACTCGCACAGGGAGGAAGGCGAACTGTCCTTGTTGTATTACCTGCTCCACTGAATATTACACATTTCTTTCCTACCTCCATCCGCCAAAATACCTTGTCAGTCATCTCTCCCGTACACTCACCACCATCGCCACCAGACCACGAGTGGAGGAGAAAGTGGCTGAGACGACCATCATTTCCTCCCGTCTTCTTGAAGCTCATGGCACATTTTACCATTGACCATAAAACATGATGTATGCTAACGGAATCACGTTTCTTCCCAGTATAAAAAAGCCCTAATTCTTGGAACCGATACATTTCTTCCTACTTCCTATTTACATATATCCTTTTAGCTTAAATGCAAGTGTCAGTCGTATCTTTTCGTATGCACAATTTGTGTACTGAAGTTGGCTGAAGATGAGTTGTCGTTGAATTAGAGTGTGCAATGTGATCATGTCTCGAGTGAAATTGCAGGATTCAAGTGTGATTGTTCGTTTCATTAACTTTCTCAGTTTTGCATTTTACTGTATTTCAAATCGTAGTAAGACAGTCGAGTGACTGGGGATGAGAAGTGAGAACTGTCAACTGCGTAGCTCTCGACATATTTCGCCTCTTAAGATATTGGATGTCAAGCTCCGCCTGATGACTGGATATCCAGAAATATATTCACTAGAAGGAAGCTGCTCTTTAGTGTCGCATTTTTTATACTCGTCCTGTTTGCGTATTTCCAAGAATCTCGAGTCCACTCAACGTTAAATTATTGCCGGAGTTGTCTGACTTTAATTAGAATTCTGTCCATGTCAGGTGTTTCAAAAATTCTAAATTAAACTTTTGCTTTAATTCTCGTTTTATTACTGGGTAGCCTACGATAAACCCATGGAAAGCGAGAAGATAGAGAATGAGATATGTGGAACAAATCTTGAACCCGTTTTTGTATAATTTGTACGTTTTTGTTATGACAGGGATGAACAAATTCTGGCTAAACTTATTCCAACATTATTGCATATTTTATGACAAAAGTGGGAGGGAAATAAACAATTTTGCAACTTATGTTTTGTTTATTTCCGAGGAATTTGCATCCAGTTTGGCATAAATAACAAGTATGCAGTTATTCGCGTATGGGTACGTATATAGCCATTATTGAGAAACATCATATACTGTCATATTTAGCTTGTGCATGGAGCTCATATGTATTCTGTGAACAAGTTCCTTTTGTAGATTAAACAACCGAGTCTGGTGGGGGATACCCTGGATAAGCGTCGGTCTGCAGATATATGTACCTTTAAAAATGTGGTCTCTCTCTATCCAGCGTTGCGCTACGATTTACGCTCATCCTGTCCCAAGAGTTTCATAATAGTAAAGGTAACAAATATTCATCCTTCTTAGTCCTTCCTTCCTTCTGGCTCTTATACCAGGCAGTCTGGTAATAAATGTCCAAAGTTCCCAACAAAAATGTAGTGCAACATGAGCCGATAGTATTTGTGGAGGAGCAATTACTAAGATTACATGAATGCGAAACAAACAACATCCAAAATGTTTAGGGGCTAAACCACTCACGGAAAATTAATTAGAACACAATGATGCATGAGGATCCATAATGTTAAAAATATCCCAAAAGTACAATGGTACTTTTAAGGTGTACCCAGGATTCATTAAAATATCCAACTTAATACAATAAGTATTCTCGTTTATTTACGTGCAAAAACCGTTTTCAAACGTGAAACAGTTATTTTTGTAACGTAAAATTGTCGCCAAAATATAACGACGACATTATCAAATGCATACATACATAAGTCAAATCTTGACTTGGGAGCCCATTACGAATTAGCTCGTTGTGCGTTCATCATGCTTGGATGTATTGTATGCTTATTATAATACATGAGCTAACCGAAAACTATGAAAATCGACACATATGTAAATAGATCGTTATTACTTCGACCGGATAACGATTCAACCGGATATACATAACTATGCAGTTAAATTACCTGTTCACAATATGTAAAATTATATTAAACGCATATATTCCACTCTAATCATAATATACATATTAGCCGTACCAGTATTAAAAAGATGCATATATACGTATGCACAAAGATAATAATACCGCATTTTTCTCCAAGATTTCCTGCTAAATAATAAGAATGGTTAATCTGTTTATAAAGTTGTAATAAGTTTTATTTCTAAGAAGAAAACAATAAAACAAACGCCGTGTTTGAATATTAATATAAGAAATCATAATGTGAAAACTGTAAATAAAGTAAATGCGAGTACATATATATGTATAAGGTAAGGGGACATTTATTAATTAAGTAAAAGTTATGATACTTTACGTGATGAAAAAATCTTATAAAATAAACGAAATAATAATAGTCATACTTGGTTGAGAGGAATATAATAAATTAAGTAAGCAATGATAATGTAGATTATAAATACAACACTCTTGAGAGATTATCCGTTGTGAAGTAGTCACGTTACATGATGATCGCCATTTAGTGATAATCAGCAGACTCCTCAACGACATAATACACATGTATAAGACTCAACCTATACCCTTATTTTGTTTACCTTACTAATTCGTTATTATACAAGAATGTGCGTAACAGCAAAAGACGTCTTAGCATTAGTTCAAGTTACGTACGAGGATTTGAAATCTGTAACCAAACAAAACGCATTCAAACTCTAACGAAAGTGAATTTTTCAAGGTATTTGTTGCCATAAATAATGTTTCTTGAAACGAGTTATTACAATGTGGAGTAGATTTTCTTTAAAAAATGGAATAAACTGAGTCAAAGAAATAAATACTGTAACGTATTTGCCAGTAAAGTTTACTCACATTTGGCATTCGAAGCAAAATACATAAAGTAAAGATCAAAAACGGTTCCTGCTGATACACAGCATCAACAACATTGAATTGAAGAGGTATCAAAACATGTAATGCCGTCAGGCTTCGTAACAATATAGCTTTCTTTACATATTCGATCTTGGTTAGAATTCCAAGTAGCAAAATTTGTAGCACTGCTTGTACTTACATACATACTTGTATACTATAGATGCTACCTGTTTTCATTCACCCACCTTCCTCCATGAAAGAAAGACATGAAACGAAAACTCATCAAACGAAAAGTAGTAAAACATCCAATGATCTAGTCTTGAACAGAAAAATCCAGTCATGCATACCTGATTGCCAGTATATTCATGGGCAGTACATACTTACGTGCAATAACTGATTTATTTTTTAGATATAAATATAAGATACCATATATTCTAGGTACAAACGACCATCAAATTAGAGCTCTTGTTGTCACAAATCACAATCGCAATCGCAAAATCGAAAAAACAAGGTATCATGATGGGCTTCTGATCCAAGTAGAAACGTCAATGATGTGCATATATTAGTGAATTTGCAGCTACACCAACTCGCCGCAAGCAATGACCGTAATCTTCTCTGAAGGCTTTCCAGAATTGGATCCAAATTTCTAAAACAGAGTCGGTACGGTACATGATCATGCTTGAACTTGAGTTTTATAAGCTTACAATATATATTTTTTACCTCAATTTTTTTCAGCACATCCAATCCAGTAATTATCAGCCCAAAAACTACATGTTTATTGTCCAACCTACATGAAGTAAATATAATGCATTCCAAATATTATCTAGAAGTAGATATAAAGTGATTGTACCAGTTGGTAGGTTGAAATGTTATGAAAAACTGGCTTCCATTTGTATTTGGACCTGGATGACGAATTATAACAATTAAGTAAATTAATCAGGTAAGTAAATGAATTTTTCATTTCAGTTGTAATGTTTATCTGTAGAGTTTTAGAATCAATTTTAAAGGCATAATAACCTGAATTTGCCATCGACAAAGTACCAGGTGCTGAATGTCGAAGTGTGAAATTTTCGTCTGCAAATTTGCCTCCATAAATACTTTTTCCGCCGGTTCCATTATTATTTGTAAAGTCTCCTCCCTGAGCCATCTGCCAAATGAATGACAAAATAAACTTTTAATCATTACGCATTGATTAGAAAAAATACAACAAAATATTTTTTAGATAAAATAAAACAATAAAACCCATTAAAGGTCATGTAGTATTAAAGAGAATTAGGATTTGATACGTACAAAACCAGGGATAATTCTATGAAACGAAGACTCTTGAAATCCAAATCCTTTCTCATGAGTGCAAAGACATCTGAAATTTTCCGCCGTGATTGGGACTACATCAGTTCTATAGGGAAAAAGACAATATACTAAATATTGGAGTGAATAATTTTTAAACACAAACACATTCAATATAAATATTGGATAACATTGGGTACTAACTACATGAATTTTATAATATCAATGCATAAATTGCAGGTGCACTCATCTCCTCGAGTACCCTTCGAAGTTTTGTTTTACCTGAGAACAAATGACATTCTTCCTACAGTGAATTTCCCAATTTTAATGTCCAAGTAGACTTGAGGATTCTTAGGAGTTCTGACAACTGGTCCAGGTGTGACGGCGCCCTTTACACAAATAATAATATGGAATTATATCAAAAATATAACTGTTATTTGTGTTCTACTTGATACATAGTGCTTGTTCTCTATATCTACGTATTATAATCATACCTCTGTTTTTGATTTTTCTTTCATATCTTCAGGGTCACCTTCTTTATCTTCATTCGTCGCATCCTTAGTGGGATCCTTTCCGACACCCAAGGTTTCTCCAGCATGCTTTTGCAGCCAGCTATCGTCTTGCCAGACAGGCCGAGTTGAAAATTCTCTAACTTTCATGGGCTTGGCCATATTTACTCGAATTGTCTATATAAACATTCCACAACTTCAACGTTTATTTATCAAGGACAACTAAGTTTCCCAAACGAGCGTTTAGTTATTTTATGAGCCATTTAAATAATATGCGTTCATTGCCAAATAATATAATATCAAAAATTAATGAATTTGGAATGAAGGGGGACAAAATTTGTCAAGTTCGTGTGCAATTGAAAGGGGGATCGCGAAAAGAGAAATCTTAAGTTTTCTAGAAATAATTGATCTCCTCAAAATATAACTCGATACTAATTTAAATGAAAATAAACTGTAATGCCCATGTAAATAATTGAATCACTTGAAAAGACTGCACACAAACGAAACAACAGTAATCAGTAATCACGGGGGGATAAGTAAATAGTATTTTACCCTTCCAAATAGTTCGGCGTCATTCTGCAATTAACGAGTACGTAATAAATTAACAGAAGCAATGGCACATTGTCTCTATTTCTAGCATACTCAAGAACTTGATTAAAGACCTCACCATATTGTCAATTGATGACGCAGCGTCCTCGTTCAATTCAAATTCTACAAACGCAAATCCCCGGTGTTTCTGTGTTTCGTAGTCCAGCGGCATTTGTACGTCCGTAATATCACCGAAAGGAATGAAAGCAGCTTTAATGACCTCGGTGTCAACTTCTTCTGCAAGGCCTCCTAGCAAAGGAAAACACAAAATGAAATTAAATTACTTACAATTTGTAATTTAGTTTTATAAGTTTCAAGCCAGGAATTTTAGGTATGTGCATAACATAGCAAGTTTTGTGATCTTGACAGATTTCATGGATATTAAAAATCAAAATGACCATATTGACTAGATATATCCTTTTGTTCAAAAGATTTGATATTCAAATTGAAAATTAAAATATTTACTTACCGACGTACACAGTCCGTTTTAGTGCTTGAGCAGTCGTCATTTTCCACGATGGCTTAACCTGCTACGAATTGTAAAACGTTTTTGACGGTTATAACTAATATTATATGTTACAACAATTAAATACTTAACTTATAACGTTGTTATTGTTTAATTTTAAATTTAATTTTTGAATCAAATTCAAAGCTTGAAAAGTTGAGCAGCTCAAACAATATTCCCACCAAATAAATCTCAACATTGTATGCACTTGAACACAAACAAACACAACGTTTCTGTATTTTTTTATTGGCAATATTTTTAGACAAAAATAAGGTATAAATTAATGAAATCAAAATTGTTAATTGACCTATCATGGAGACACACCCTCTGCTTCTATTTGATGTTGCAGAGCTGACAAATATGCTTTTCTCTCCATTAACTTGGCTTTAGCTTCGATATAACTGCAAGGAATAGTTCCCTTTAGCGATAAAGAATCCAACCTCTCTGTTAATAACGACATATTTCTTTTGAGAGCTTCGTGTCTCTTAATGACGTCTTCCAGCTTCTTGATATCGATGATGGCTAGGGTTGCACACGTTTTCTGAAATACGTAAACATAAATGTATATACAATTGGTTAAGACCTCGTGACATGAGCCTCATATGCATATGCTAAAAAAACAGTATAATAAGTAAACAGTAGTATACCTCAAGATTTTCCAGCCTTTCTCTCAAAATCTGCAGGGTAATCAATAACGTCTCTTTATGTAGTAGTAACTTCGAATTCTGCTTCCTTTCTATTATTGTATTTTCCATTTGTACTTCCGCTGCTCCAGAGAACTGACGAATTTCTTCTAATTTTGTCTCCAAAACAGCATTAGCATTCGCCTGTTGTGTCACATGGAGCTCTTTTGAAGCTTTTGCCTCCATCATTCTGGACCCCCTCGAGCAGGCGACGTAACGAGAAGACGATGTCACGGGAGGGAACTTATTAGTCTCCTGGCCACCCACTCCACGCTTTAGCAATGCAAAGTGTTTCCCAATTTCAGCGAGAATCAGTTTAAGGGCCTTTGGTAAATCTTTTTCTTGAAGGCCTAGCACGTTCTGAAGTCGACCTCCTAGTTGGCTCTGAATATCATCGATGGGTAGCAGGAGGTCAGACGTCAACATTTGGTTCATTAAGTCACGCCGTTGAACTGGCAAAAGTTTCATCCAATCCGGAGACTTTTGTAAAACCATTTTCAAATTCTCAGAAACTGGGAATAACAAATAAAATAGGTGGCACGAATAGCAAATTAATTTTTTGAAGACATTACACATTATACTTACAAATTATATCTGAGCTTACCTTTAAAGCACGATTCGTTGTGTATTTTACACTTTTTGCTTATCGAATTTAGATATTATAATGAATGTTTAAATTTGTACAATGTATCTAGATTTAATATATGTACAGTACATAATGTACTTGAGTTGACACCAACTGTTGGTGTGTTGAATGGTATGGACGGTATGGTAGACAACTCAAAACCCTCCAAACTGTTTGGAGGGTTTTTTTTTCATGAAAAGACAAAGTTTCATGTTCACATACTTAAGGTGGCATTGTATGCGGGGTTTGAGTTTGAATTGTTGTGTCTCAACTTTCCCTTCCCCCATATATTCAAATGGCGATTTTGAAACTCATAGATCTCCGTGGGTTTTTTACAATATGAAGATTTTAATGCACATAAAAATCGATAATTTTTAGGTTTACAAAGTTGGGACTGTAGAATTTTGATTTTTTTCTTCCATCACGAAATAAATATGAAATAGATGCAAAATAATCAGTAAAAACTAAAAATTTTCTCATTTAAGAAAAAAAAATCAAAATTCTACAGTCCTAACTTTGCAAACCTAAAAATTATCGATTTTTATGTGCATTAAAATCTTCATATTGTAAAAAACCCACGGAGATCTATGGGTTTCAAAATCTCCATTTGAATATATGGGGGAAGGGAAAGTTGAGACGCAACAATTCAAACTCAAACCCCGCATACAAGTGCACGTTAACATACATAATGACTTTGTTATATAGGTCATTGTAAATTTGTGATACATTTACAATATGTACAAATGTACATATTACATTACATATGTCATAGTTGATCACATGTTTCATGTTAATACAAGATGCTTACTAAAAAACTTCAAGTAAATCGTTTTATATGATTCTTACAACAGAAAACGACAATATGACATGTACAGGAATTTAGTTCACTTTAACAAACATTTGAAGCCCTCCAAGAGGGTGTGGATGTAGTTTTTTGGGAAGATTCATACGTTTTTGAAAATTTGACACGAACGGTTCGTGACGAACCCCGTTTCGAGCACCCATACCAGGAAACCAAAATAAACGATTCACAGATGCTCCCCCATTACAGTGTCCCATTTTATAGCATATGATTTTAGAGTATTTTGGACACTGTGACCCCCATGAAAAACCGGCAGCTGGGAAGTCTCAGTTGCTCACAAGTTGGTGGTGCGGGTTTCCAGCTGATTGGATCTTGCTTCACATTTTGCATGTTTTTAAATTGTAATTTAGAAATAAATAATTTGTATTCGCCATACTCATGAAGATAAATCTAAAATTAGTAGAAATTAATTGCATTACAAAAGCAGTACCGGGGCTGTGTGGGTTCAGCAGCATGGGAAAATCAGCCGGGGTTAATAAAGGTCAAACTGTGAGTAATACTCATACTCATTATCGAATTCAAAGTGCATATTCTGATGTGCAGATTAACTATATTAATAATTATATTCATGAATTTTAAATTTATGTGCTGTTTCAGAGCAAAAATGCATCCGCGAGTACAAGCATACCAACAAAAGGTCCAATAAATCAAACAAAAGAAGGTCATTTTTCCATTACCATTCAAGTAAAGCCTGGAGCAAAGGTGAATTCCATTACAGGTAAAGATACTATTTGTTGTATGGTAGCTATACGGCTAATTGTTTGATACAAGCTATAAGACAATTTTTATGATTTTGATAATAACAGGTATTTCAGAGGAAGCAGTATCGATACAAATTGCAGCTCCTCCCGTGGATGGTGAAGCAAATATCGCAATTGTGAAGTATTTTTCAACAATCCTTAATCTGAAAAAGGCTGATGTTTCTCTCAGAGTAAGACACGGTCTCGATGAATGGTTTTTAATTGCATGGATGCTTAATGATGAATTGCATTTTTTGATAATTTGCTCATCATTAGGGAGGAAAATCCAGACAGAAAACGGTTACAGTGGATTCTTCGACTGGTCTATCGATAGAAAAAATCTTGGAAATGTTAAAAAGTCAAGCAGAATAATTATTTGTACCTAACTTCCTTGTACAATTCCTTAGATTACCCAAAATTGCATGGGTTTTATCTTCATGATGATGAGTCATATATAATCACCAAATTATTATTTTATCCTCAAAATGTAACGTATTATGCAGTCAGATGAGATGTTAAATGTTGATGTGGATTTGATAAATAAAGCTACATATGTACACGCTGTGAATGAAATACAGTTGTCCCAATTCATGATAACGTAGTGCTGTTAAACTCAGACAGAAGATGATTTCATTCATCCCAGTGTGCTTATACAATATAATTATTCCGAAGATGAACATATGATCGCTTTCAGTAAAATTGCGTTAAATTAACTGTAGAGGATATATATAAGCCCATTTCCAAATTAAAATGTTCCAATACACAAATCCAGTGAATAGGTGGTTAGGTTAGGTCCAAACTTCGATTCCTTTATACGTGGACATCGCACATATATCACCAGTTCCAACTCTTATTATTTCACCAAAGATAGAATAGTTTACTTGTGTTTATTTGCTTGCTAGTAAATAAGAAATTTTTCTTTTGGTAACCAAAATGCCGTCTACGTTGTCAAAATTAACGTTCAAGGTGGCCGGAAAACTTCCCCCGGAATGGATTCTGCTGTACTTGAGGATGACGAAGGCTCAAAAGTTTGCAATTTTGGGATCTCTTGTTGGATTTTTTGGGGTTGTGAAGCAATTGTATTTTACGAAGAGAAAAAGTCGCAGACGCTCCAAGGGCTATGGTGGTCTTGGTGTAGGCCCCAAGAAAACGACTCCCGGGATTAACATTGAGTTTTTTAAGCAAATGAGGTTCTTGTTGAAGCTGATGATTCCAACCTTATGGTCAAAACAGATTGCAATACTGTTGGCCCACACGGGAATGCTGATGGCGAGAACATTTTTGTCAATATATGTGGCCAAATTGGAAGGGAAAATAGTCAGAGAAATCGTTCAAAAGTAAAGTAACCACATCTTATCTATCACGCGAAGAGGGGTTTTTATAATTATTAATAAGTCAGGTAAACGATTTGATTATTTTCAGAAATGTGGGTCAATTTATCCGTCTGCTCACAAAGTGGCTTGTAATTGCAATTCCAGCTTGTTTTTGTAACTCGTCGATTCGATTCTTGGAGAAGCATCTAGCACTCAGTTTAAGAACAAGTCTGGTTAATCAGGCCTATAAAACATATTTCAGCAACCAGATTTACTACAAGTAGGGAAAAATAAATGCATACGTTCATAAGTCATTATTGTGCACAAATGATTTTTATTTTTATACATCACTTTTAAATAATTTCTAGAGTTGGAAATTTGGATACGAGAATTCCAAATCCAGATCACAGTTTAACCGAAGATATTTCTGAATTTACAACCTCAGTTGCTCATTTATATTCTCACATCACGAAGCCTTTGTAAGTCCTTTGTAGTTTCTGTGTTTTAAAATGGCTGTTTACTTTTCCTAAGGACCATTCCACGAGCACAAGTCAGATTATTTGTTTATTTTACGGCACAGGTTCGACTGTCTCATGGTGTCGCTGACATTGTTCCAAAGATCACAAGCTGTCGGCTCTAACTTATTCCTTGGACCCTTTATTACGCTCTCCGTGGTAGGATTAACAGGTCAAATTTTGAAAGCAATTTCTCCCAGGTTTGGTCAATTAGCTGCGAAAGAGGCGGAGACCAAAGCAAAATTGAGACACAAGCATTCCAGAATCGTTACAAATAGTGAGGAGATTGCGTTTTATGGTGGAGGAGAGGTTGAAAAGAACATTCTACAAGATGCATATCGCCAGGAATATCAGCAGAGCAAAAAGATTTATTTTTCGAAACTTTGGTACGTCTTCTTTGAACAATTTTTGATGAAATACTGCTGGGGTGGAACAGGAATGGTAATACAATTATTACTATTTATTGAGAAAAATTGAGAGCATTTAATATTAATTTATTAATACTAACAGGTAGTTACTGCTATACCAATCCTTACTGGTAACTAAAAGTTACTACTATTTATTGAGAATATATACATTTCACAATTTTATATCCATGCTAAATATGGCATCATCTAAATTTGTGGTCGTTATCTTAAATTACAAAGCTCATAGTTTGAAGAATGGGAGTGGGGCAGCCAAAAGAACGGAATATTATATGACATCGAAACACTTGTTGGTGTCGGGTGCCGATGCTATGGAGAGATTGATGACCAGTTACAAGGAGGCTGTCGAATTGGCTGGATACTCGTCTCGAGTTGCTAATATTTTCAAAGTGTTTGACGAAGTTTCTAAAGGCATTTATATTCGCGAGTCCTGTATCGAACGGGACATACAAATAGGTTGGTACATAACAACTTACAATAGATTGTGCCATGTATATGTATGCATTTTTGTACATATAATTTCAGGAACTGTGGTTGAAAACAACTCGAGTATAATTGAGCTCACAAACATTAAAGTTGTTACCCCCACTGGGGACGTGATTGTACAGGATTTAGAATTGCTAATCAAACCTGGAATGCATTTGCTTATCACAGGTAACGTCGTATGACTTCATTTTTTCAACCCGTAATATGTACAATGGTGAGCTTTTTTAAAATTACAATTCACAATAGGTCCAAACGGATGTGGCAAAAGCTCGCGTAAGTTTAAGCCCTTTAGTTAAGAAAATAATGTACAGGGAAGCATGAGAGTACTTTATAAGGGAGAACTTTCCTTGTATATATCTACAGTATTTAGAATTTTATCCGGATTATGGCCGGTTTATGGAGGCCACATGACACGACCTCCGGTAGATCGACTGTATTATATACCCCAACGGTACGTAAATAATCTGAGAGTGAAGTTTGAGTAGATATTTTCATACGTATTTTGTCGGTGGGTAAAAGTTGAATGATTTCCAGGCCGTACATGTCGCTCGGAAACTTACGAGAACAAGTTATCTACCCAGATACTCGAAAAGACATGCACAGGAAAGGAATGAAGGACAAAGACTTGACTCGCATTTTGGAAAATGTTCAGTTAAATCACATTGTCACTCGCGAGGGGGGCTGGGATTCCGTGCGGGATTGGCAGGATGTGCTTTCCGGAGGGGAGAAACAGCGCGTTGGAATCGCCAGATTATTTTATCACAAGTAATTACACAAAATTAAAAATTTCTGTTGCAAATGTCCCACATAGTTACAGTATGCATACTGGTGTGCAGTTGAGTTTGATTTTATGGTCTAATTCTGCAATTAAAATTTTCAGACCAACGTTTGCTTTGCTCGACGAATGCACCTCAGCTGTCAGTATGGACGTTGAGGACAGCATGTATCAACTGTGAGCTCCTTTAGATAATCCTTAACAGCTTTGTTAGTTAATGAATATTTTAATGAAGGTTTTCTTTCCCTCACAGGATGATTAAGAGTGGAATAACATTATTGACAATTACTCATCGACCTTCTCTATTTAAGCATCATACTCACATTCTCAAATTTACCGGAGATGGAACCTGGTCATTCGAGGACATGAAATTGGAGTCTTCTTCTTGGACTATGTAGGTATATTGATAGATACTTTGTCTGAATATTTTATTGTCAAATTGAAGCAATAATAGTGTTTATACATTTTCATATTTTAATCGGATTTTATACAATTTTAATTTGTGATTAAAAGATGTTCTTAATTATGTGTGTGCCAGTTGCAACAAACCAACTAGAAACCAAATAACTTTGTCTAACTGTATTGTCGTGCTTATTTCAGCAGGGACCCATTGGGCTGCTTCAAGTCATTGTGTGACTTAATTACGCCATTAGCATACATCGGCTCCCCTTGTTGAACTTCCCCATTTTCTACTAAACTTTGCGTCTCTGGAGTCAAATTGTCAAAAAACAAGGTTTTGTAGTTACTTCCTGTCGTAGATTTCCCATAGATTTCATCAATGCTTGGTGGTTGAGCTAGCTGACCAGTGTCTAAATTCTTAAAAGTTTCCAATGACTCGGGATCTGTCAGTGCTGAATTTCCTACGTCAATTTCATCCACCCTGTCTTCCGTTACTTTCCAAGAAACTCCGGGAAACTAGGAGAGAGAAAGTAGAGAAAATTGTCACTCGGTTTTTATTGACTATTTATTCCTGAGTAGTCGTAACGTGTGTCAATATGTCACTGCATAGGAATGTGCCTACCTGTTTCTGAATAGTGCGAAATCGAACATCTCTGGCTTGTTTCGTGACTGCCAATAGTTCTCCCCTGACTCTGCTTGACTCGGGCTGTATCACTTGCTTGATTGTCTGTAGGACGGAATAACAAGGTGAATTAATTATTTACGGTCTCAATGTCTTGAAAATATAATAATAGGCAGGCCGAATGTCAACTTTTGTCCGCTCTCGTACCATATCAGTCCATGCAAAGAGAGCCACGGCACGATTGTGAAATGCTTTGTAGCAACTGTCCGCGTGCAGTCTTCGCTCAGCCGAGTTCATATCGATGAATATAAATGACAGTGCCTGCAAATTTATACGCACGGTCAAAAGGCCATTTATAAAATTTGTACATAATCAGATTTGACTCGAAAGTTGAAAGCCAATTATTGCACCTTTTCTAAGACGGCCATTTCAGCTTTGGAACAATATGGAAGCTCGAACAATCTGATGTAGAACCTGGCGTTGGTGATGCACTGGAGCGAGGTAACAAGGTCGTCTCGGATTTCTTCCGTCATGTCAAACAATTTGGCAGGCCTGTGATAAATGTCCCAGAATAAATTATTCTAATTTTGCTTACGCCGTCCAGTGGACAATAATAAGTCGAATATGCATTTCCGAAAATTAAATTATGAAATAATTGCGGAATTACATACACGTGTGACCAAATATTGTCGTGTCTGGGCATGCAAATAGTACATACATAATTTGCATACATATATGTAGACATGTACATATGTACGTATGCATGCATATATTTATTGTTAGTATGTATGCATCTATAGATAGATTATAGATTCACTTACGTGTCGTCCTTAATTTCTCTCCATTTCTTCAATGCTACTCCAAATTGGCGACATGCATCAATTATTTGGGATCGGGCTTCTCGCCATCGTTGAAATGCTTCGGAAATTTTTATTTTTTTAGTCTCAACTTCCGCTAAGTTTGCATATAACTTGGCCTCTTCAGCATTACTCGTCCCCTCAACCGTCAACTTTTCTGCAATTAACGAAGTCGTGATATTTTAGCAAATTCGTAAAAATACATATGCATATGCATAGGTGCACAATTTAATGGAATAATTGAGCAGCAATTTGCATGCAATGCAGTTGCATGCTCGCGTAGATATGTGCATAACTGTGAAAAATGGAATCGATAAGTTATGTGTCAAAAAATGAGTAAAATAATTACTTGCAATGTCATCCTGGCGATTATACAAGGCGATAAGTTTTTTGCATATTGATTTGAAAGCGGAGACCTCACTTTCGGCTGTTGAAATAAAGTACAAGTTGTCCAGTTTTACCTCATTTTTTATAAATATGTTTAATTTTTATAGCTCTTTCAACCCAAAATCTTCAGTATATTTAGTAGTCTGTACGTTTTTTAAATACTATAAAGGATCTCGACTTCTTACCGAGTGCTTTCTCCTGTTGCAACATTTCCAATTCTGTGGCTGCTATTTCCTGCACCAGATACACAATTATGTATAAATGTATTATGTATGCACAATTAGACAGACTGGATTATGAAATGGGCTTCTTTTTGCATGTGGGTGGGTGTCACAATAGAGCTACATAAATGGACGCACATACCAATCGATTCATGGAGGTTAGATATTCCTGCTCAGCTTTGGAAACGACGTCCTTGCCCCCGTACTCAACCACCACTTTTCGCAAGTTTTGTACTTCGCCGTCCTCCTCCTCAGCCTCTTGCTCAGTCTGCATCGCCCTCTGCATGCCCTTGATTTTGGTCGTGGTCATGTCCATGGCTTCGAGAATATTTTGGAGGTGTGACTTTTTGATGTAGAAGAGCGTGAGGGGGTCCTCCCTTTCGAGCAGCCGGATGGCCTCGTCGCACTCTTTGTACTCGGCCAAGGCGTCCTCAAACTCTCGAGGGTCCATGTTAAGGACGGGACTCTGTCAAGTGCAAATGGATTGATGACCTCGTCAGCTTAGATAATTTAATTACTACACTTCAAAACTGACGTGTATGTATTGATTGTATGTCTGCTTTTGGAATAGGAACACGTGTAATACCGGTGGGGTTATCACGGCTACACAATTATGAATACGTAATTCTGCATGGAGCTAAAATAGTTTTTGCACCTATGGTCACATTCCTCTCCTCTTAACAAAGTAGTCGACAGGGAAGTACTTTAGACTAATAAACGTGAAACAATACTGATGCTTAAGCAACGTATGCATGCACGGCCGACCGGTGTCTCGGTGTCTCGTCTGATTCTTAATGCTAAGTTGCTCGATATTTTATAACTTCTTGACAACTGCAGGAGTTGACCCAGAAGAGAGTGAAGGACGGATAATCATTAAGTGACAATCAATCGATACGGAGAGAATTTCTCACTCACCTGAACACCCTGGTACGGATTTGGCGTGGGTTTCCTGCTGTTGTTGTTGCTTTGAGCTTGGTTTCGGCCATGTCTTTCCGTGGAATCAATACCTTTCTGAAATATGCAATTTGTCATTAGTGATTAATATTGAACAACATGACATAAACCGGAAAGGCTTTGGGCTCTAAACGAATGAGGAAGGTGTCTCGTTTATCATGTTGCCTTTGTAAATAGGAGGAGCAGGCGTAGGAAGGAGAAAGAGGCGAAATGAGACTCGTCCTTTTTTCATATGGACAAACAGGTGCACAAGACCAGGAAGTTGAGACTTTCATTCCTAATTGGACACGTATGCATGTTGTTCAAATTAAAGTGTCTCATCAAACGACACGCTTAATTCTTAATTACTCGAAACGAGCCAAAAGTTTTTGTGCATATTATCAGCATTTTTAGCGAAATGTGTAAATACCTGTTTCTGTTCTGACTCGATTGTAATGATTCGATCCATTCTGGAAGGGCTAAGTGGCAGAGCTGCCTTATTGTTAACTTTGCTCTGGTCACAACCCATTGTCTCACTGATATTTGCTAATTTATTTGTTAAACGCACACTGGATCACGGGCAATTCACAAGCGATCGAGTCAAGCCATAGTCCATATTAACGCTTAATTATCCCATAAATATTGCAGCCGTTTCATGTATATTGCAATACACAGTTTGTGATTATTATCTCGTTTTCCCAACCTGTGAAACTCGAACTGGAAAAAATTTCTCACCGTCGTCAGTGAATACACACCAAATTCTTCAACATAGTCCGTCAGAGTTTGTCGTTCGAGACGGAATGGACGGAAGCACGACTGATCGGCTTATCTAAATTGGAGGATTGTATTGCTACAAAAGGAGTGCACTTCTGCATGGGTATTTTATGCAATAAAGAGACGATTGTTAACTAATTTCAGCACTACCATCAACAAACACTTACACACTACCGACTCCCATTCTTCTGCTCATTATGTACTCTGTATAAGCGGACTTCCAATTAAGTTGGCAGCCTTCACCAAGAGCTGGTTTCTCCGCAATTTGCTAAAAGACTGAGCTAAGAATACTAAACAATTTCGCTTTTATTCTATTCCAGTAAAAAAAGCGGAGAGAGTCGCATGTTGATGACTGAATGAATGGCTCCGGATTGCGTTGGGATGACCGCTGGCTGTTGGTTAACAAAGTCAACTGAACGGCATGTTGTCAATGCAAAGACTTGTACGTTGAGGTTGTTGCAGGAGTTCTTTATTTTCGCTGTGTTATCCAGGCAGGTAGCACAACCAGGTCAATCTGGTTGTAAAGAAAATGTCGAGATTGTGTCGGATGTCCGGAGTGGATGAGTCAAGTCGATATTTTATTCTTCTTCGAGACAAAGAAGAGGATGCAACGCAACACTCTCGCGAACACAAGAATGGCTTACATAGTTGCAGTCTGAATAATACTCTGCTTTGAAAAATATGTTGACCTACATGTTGCAAATCAAGGAAGTCAATCAATCCTTCGCCACCACAACGAAACGGGGAGTTCCTCACTATTTTGATGAAAAAACACCATGCTCACCAATCTGCCTAAATATGCAGCTAGCAGAGTTAGTGTAGTGAGGTCACATTGATGACAAGGCATATCCCTCAGACGTCAATTGTTCGCTGTGGGTGCCGGAGTTTTAAGTACACTTGAAAATGCAAACTTTCTCCGTGGTAATCTATACCTGCGATGATGTGCTGCTGAGTTTCTGACATTTCTGTCAGTGTACCGTAAGCGCTTTGGGTGAATAAGGTAATGGTATGTGTCCAAGTCGTTGGCGAGAGTCTCGATACATGCCAATACACTGGACAAGTGTCAACTGACGAGCATTTCGTGAGAAGCTCGGGGAAAGTGGCTGATTGAAACCCGCATTAGACATTTCTTTAAAGAAATACCCAATATGTACATGTTTCCAATGAAGAGAGACGAGAAAAGTGTCACTACATCCATTTTATTGATGTTGATGCCATCAACATATCGGCAGCACTAAGGATAAATTGGACCGTCAAGAAGAAGACTATTGGCTTTCTCCGTTACATGAGTATTAGAAGTTAGATTTATTTGATTTTATTTATTTATTTATTTACATATCTATATTCTATGCGTTATGGATCCAGACATTTCTAGAATTTCTAGAATCTCGATACCATTTATACTAATATGTAATTATGTAATTATCATATATATGTAAGTTTTGCGTAATACCGATAATCGTGATTGTGGTAAAATAAATAGTTTTGCTTGTGCATCTACTTTTCCTTAAGATATGTTTCAAGTTTTTACGAGGCTAGAGCGGGTAGTTTTAGTTGTCTTTCAAAACTTATGAATCATAAGTTATGATCGACAATTATGGGTGGAGCCAGTGGCCGCGGAGGCGTGGGGGCTGAGGGACAATGTCCCCACCGTTATTCAATATCCCCATCATCTGCCCATGTTATACAAGCCCCTTCCCCTTCCTATATCCTACAATGTTAATGTCCCCAGATGTCCCCACAGCATCCGCGGCCACTGGGTGGAGCTGCACATTTACCAATTTAGCGAGGAATACTAATGATTCAATTTCTCATGTAATTTATAACGTTCCTATGTTTGCTCATATCTGTGATAGGCAGAAAAAATTCGAGTGCCTATTTATTTAATTGCAAAATTTCTAGGCTTATAAAGAGAACATTAACATTGTGTTCATATATTTCGCTGTGTATTTATGCGTCTGACCATTGGTTTGCGACTATTATACGCTTCAGATGCCGAAGAAAGCAATAATAGTTCTCTGGTTGACGGTGTAGCGGGTATAAAGAACTTTCGGAGAGCAAACTATTGAAATCCCGGATTCGGGTTTTGTGCTTGCATTATTATTATGCAGTGTATCGATCAGATCTTCTTGGTATCAGGCAACAGCAGATTGCCAGGTTTATATATTTCACAAATACACGACTTACTCGAGTGTAGGTTGCGTCATTTACATAAGTTGTACACATATACATTTGCCTGTCAAATTAGCGTGTATCTAATTAGCTTGCGTGATTATACGTCCTGACAATAAACACCAAGCTCAGGGAACAACAACATGTCGTTAAATTCCAGTCTGGAGGTGTGGCCCTACGTGGAGCCTCCCACAATTCTGCCATACGACTTTGAAAAATTTGACGCTATCAAATGGCGAACCTGGATGGCGCAGAGCTGGCCCATCAGCCTCGTCATTTCTGCCTCCTACGTGACCCTGATCCTCGTGGGTCAGAGGTTCATGCATTCTCGACAACCTTTCAAGTTACAAGGACCCCTCCTGATCTGGAACTTGGGACTGGCCATCTTTTCACTCTGCGGCTTTGTTCGGACATTCCCAGAATTGTTCCAAGTGATTTCCGGACAGGACGGGATGCATCGCTCCATTTGTGTTCGGTAATAGTTGGGTAGCTGTCCTTATATAGTTTCCCAATTCATACACGCGTATGTGTGTCCCGATTAAATCGAGGACGTCCCATACTCAATATCTCGGTATTTATTTTATTAATTGCACACATTTTGCATTCAGGGACACGTTGAACCCAAGCTCAATTTTTTGGGCTTTCCTCTTCACTTGGTCTAAAGTGGTTGAACTTGGAGACACATTGTTCCTCGTGTTGAGGAAAAAGCCTGTCATATTCCTTCATTGGTACGTATGCACATATAAATATACTGCTTAATAACATGTCATAGTGAGAATGCAATGAATTAAGCTCTTGTGCGTATTGCTGTTAATCCTATAAATATATTTTAACGTACACAGGTATCACCACGTGACAGGTGAGTAGCATTCATTTTACTCAGGATTCCTCAATGCTAATTAATTATCAGCATCAATTTAATTTAATTTAATACCTCACAGTCTTAATTTTCTGCTGGGCAACCTACGCCCACTATGAGCCAATTCTAAGATGGTCAGTTCGACAGTCCTCTCGATGAGTCGATATATTAAATAATAAACTTGTCAGTTACACTAACCGGCCTTTATTTTTTTCAGGTTTGGCGTCGTCAACATGCTCGTGCATTTTTACATGTACTCATACTTTGCCTTAAGGGTTGGTCACATAATACTTGCTGATATGTACATTTGCTTATTAGCTCCTCGTTCATGATTTCCTATTTCTTAATTGACAAATCTGTTCAGGCAATGCATGTGCGCTTGTGGAAAAGCGTCTCCATCACAGTGACAACTTTCCAATTGACACAAATGGTCCTCGGGATTGTAGTAAATTTCTACGCATTCTGGATGAAAAGTTAGTATATTTTTTTACTAATTGCCCAACCCAGAGCTCGTAGATATGATACGCGTAAAGGTTTTGCAAATAATAATGCTACATATTTACAGGGAAAGGGGTCCCCTGCGCTCGAAGTGACCAGGGCCAAAATATTCATCTCGCCATGTACTCGTCGTACCTCGTTCTCTTTGCTCACTACTTTTACAAGTCCTATCTGGCCAAGAAACCAAAAGTGAAGCGAACTTGAATCAAAAGCACAAGTCACACCCAAGGAAAACACTACGAATAAATACTCAATTCAGGCTGTTAAAAAGCAAGATAACTAATTAATGTATAAATAAATACATAGTGATACTGCCAAATAATATACGTTGTTCATGTCATGAGTAATAAATAAACTATTAAATCTATAGTGCAAGCTTTATTTAGTCCTAGTCAGAGTCCTATTTTAAACTTTTGCTACTATTACCTAGTGGCGTAAAGTTAAGCACAAAGTTCAACGACACGGATTGATGTGTCATTTAGTTTTCAGCATCACAAGGCTCGGGCTAAAGCAAGCAATTTTTAAATTCAGCCTACTTAATCATTTGCAAAACATAGAATTTGCACATAAGGCCACACTCATGCAATTCTAACGATATTAATAACTATACTAAAAATAAATTAATGCATCTCACATGATTTTAAAATGCATCGCCGGGTTTATTATACGGTTGCCGAACCAGAATATAAAGTTCTTCTCAGTGACAATGGTCAACCAACGAGTGCATTTTATTGTTTCATATGCACTATTGTCTGTCGCAGCTAGTACGTACTATTTATTACCTGAGGACATTTAATATCGTATCACGGTGCAATCATCGCAGAGAACGAAGAATGAAGGTAGGGACACAACGAGAAGAGCTTATATGAAATTAATACCACGGGATAGCTAATAGGTTATAAAAAATTGTTACCGCAGTGGGATACGAACCCACGTAAATCCACTATAATTATGTTTAAATATAATAAGGCATACAATTCATGAGTGGATGCGATGCAGCCTAAAAATAGCAAAAATGATTGACCAAGTCAAATCTGTGATCGAAAGGGATTTTGCGACCATCATCATCGTCCATTCAACATTCGAAAGTGCAGCCAATCAAATTTATCGAATGCTGCATTTACGATGATATGAAAAGAATTGCTTATCTATCTTATTCTTTAATATTATTTATAACTGATTTATTCGTGTTATACTTTCAGCGATTTTAGACTTATGGGAACATGACGGCACTCTGTCGCACTCTCTCTGTGTGCATATTAATTGACACGTTATTAATGTTTTATTCCTCATTTAGAGATGAACTCAAAGTTGTACAAATACTTAAACATCTCAATTGCTGTTTATTTTGCGGATGTTTTCAGTGCCGCATGTTGATTTTCTGCAGAATTCCATTTTGTACAAGTTTGCTTTGGTCATCTCACATTTTCATTGTAATTAGAATATTAATCTTCAAACACACTTAATACTAAGTACACAATCTCGGGCTTATACCGTACCAAGGATATGTGTATTTATATGCTTATCCTTAGAGTGATCATATCATGCATCTTCCTATCGTCGTATGCAGCTAAGAAGATGCAGGTACTTCGCTTCGAGTATCTGTGGGGACAAACTGCCCACCAATCTTATATGCCTACCGAAGCCAACGCCACTGCCACCCACAATGAGTGACGAGGGACACACGAAAATCTTCCAATTGAAAAGCTTGCACTTTCATTTACATTATTTTTAGACTAGGCCAGGTAGTGAAAGGCGCTTGGCATGCTCCTCTCGATCTCCGTTATTCCTTTAAAGTGGACAACCATTCCCAACCAAAATCATAATAAAATCCAGTTCCTCTTGCATTACATGCACACATTTTGACGGAAAATTTTGAGGGAAGATTTTGCCCGACTTGAGAATTATTATGAAGTGACCCATTTAAGCTTTCAGGACTGTCTTCACCATACTACATAGGCACGCTGCCCACTAAGTTCTGTTCAAGTGTGGTGCCCCATGCTCATCCACCACGACACTTATTAGTGACGCATACAAATTGTATCAACTCAAACCGGTGTCACCGCTGGGGTGAGAAAGGAGTTACACGAGCAAAATGTTTGGTCTGGCTGGAAATAAGACGGTGACATATCGCGATTACTTGGTGTGGACCTACACCGAGCCTCCCACAATTCGTCCGTTGTGGTTCGAAAAGTTAGATCTGATCTGGAGCATCGAGTGGGCGATAAAATACTGGACGATATCAATTTGGGCAGCTGCACTCTACTTAATTTTCATTTTTGTTGGACGAAAATGGATGGAGAACCGGAAGCCGTACGATCTGAAGTCTGTTCTGATCTGGTGGAACGGGGCACTTGCCATTTTCTCAATTTGGTCATTTATTCGCACCGTGCCGGAACTTGTGCAGGTCTTGAGCACAGAACACGGGTTATTTCGGTCCGTTTGTGTTAGGTGAGATGAAATTTTTGTGCCAGAATTAACCAGTAATTTACATCCATATGAATCTAATTGTGTATTTTCAGGGAGTACTTCAATGAAAGCAGCGCATTTTACGGCTGGCTCTTTATGTGGTCGAAAATAGTTGAGCTCGGCGTATGTAATTAAGATATCTGATTTTAACAAACGTTGAAAAGTCCAAGTCTTTCAAGGGTCAACTAAATTAAACATTTGACTTTTTGTTTTACAGGACACTGTGTTTATTGTCTTGAGGAAAAAGCCACTGATTTTCCTTCACTGGTTTCACCATATCACAGTCCTTGTGGCCGTCTGGGTGAGTGTTTTTCACTTTGACCCAGTGTCGAGATGGTTTGGCGTGGTCAACTTGGGCGTGCACAGTTTGATGTACACGTACTACTCGCTCAAAGGTTCGTTTCCAATTTTAATTTTAAATATATTTTATGCATGAGATTGATTATTTCAATGACACAACTTTTAAGCTATGGGATACTGGATACCAAAATGGGTTTCAATGACTATCACCTTCCTACAAATTAGCCAAATGATCTTGGCCGTTGGACTAAACCTTTACGCCATTTACGTGAAGAGTAGGGCATTCAAAGTTTTTAATAACCTCATAAAATTGCTCATGAATATCAAAACTTAATACATTTTGCATTGCAGGCACTGGGGTGACTTGTGCGAGGAGTGACGAGGGGATAAAAATCCATTTCTGGCTGTATTTTGCCTACCTGGTTCTATTTGCCAATTATTTCTACAAGGCATACTTGAGACCACGCAAGTCTTTAAAAGGAAAAGTCGAATGATTTAAAAATAAACTGAATCCGATAACCAGCACATTTTTGCATATATTGGGGCTTGTATTGTGTTTGTACTGTACATATGAATGAATTGGAGAGATACCTACGATTGATTGATTAATAAATACATGAGTATGAATAGAGGACTTGTCGTACGGGCGGAGGAGACGATTTCTCGTCCTTGTTGCAGAGATGAGATTGCATGAATTGATATGCTCATTGTTCAAATAAATTCTTGCACATGTAATACCGATGTGCATTCACTTTTCCGACTGCATGAGTTTGAATTGGCTTTTCGTCAACTGTACTTTGCTCCGTCGCGTGTGTATGCATACATATGTATGTAGGCACCTACTTACGTACTACCTGTGTACCTACATTCTAGGCAAAAGATCTATTTCTTGCCAACGCTAACAAGTTTGCTAGAAGTTAAGATAAAAATCTCATCCCTGATGATTGACTGCATCTGCAGGTTAGGTTGCAAATGACGATAAATTACTTATTCAATGGCGCTGTCGCTCATATCACCTGTTCAGCACCGCTTCTGCTGTTGATTCTTCAATTTTGTTGTTGAGAGTGGAAGCATGGGTAAATTTATAAATAATCTATTAAAGTGTAGTACATCAGTATAGCATAATTGTGATGGAGGGGGAAAAGTCCTTTATTTGGCCATATGCTGAACCTCCCTTGTACGAACCCTTCTGGTTGGAGAAATTTGATGTCGTCTCCTGCCGTGACTGGATGGAGAAAAATTGGCACTGGAGTGTTTACATCTGCATTGCTTATGTCGCAATTGCTGGACTTGGGGAACAATTAATGAAAACCCGGCCACCTTTTGACCTGAGGTACAGTTTGGTCGTTTGGAACTTATGCATGGCCCTTTTCTCAGCCTTGGGTTTCATCCGCTGCCTTCCCGAACTTCTTCTCGTTCTGAAAGGACCGAATGGTTTTCATCGGTCCGTTTGTGTAAGGTAATTTTATACAAGTTTTTTACTTCCAAATTCTCAACATAAATAAGCATGGCCAACTATATGATAATTTATTACTTGTGGTATTGAAATAGAGACAATCACACCCAAGCTGCAGCCTTCTGGGCGTGGGCTTTCACTTGGTCGAAAGTCTTAGAGTTGGGAGACACATTTTTCGTCATTGCGAGGAAAAAAGAGACCAAGTTCATCCACTTGTACGTAAGCCACTGAAAATGAATTTACTCGACAATGCGACACATTCCCATTTGATTTTGATTGTCTACATAAAGTTATCACCACGTCGTGGCGTTGATAATGTGCTGGTGTTACTACTCGGACTATGAACCTATAGCTCGATGGTTCGGGATAATCAACTTTGGAGTCCACACCATCCTCTACTCTTATCTCTTCCTTAAGGTGATATAATTAATATGTATCTCTATACAAAATAGCTGTCACTCATCAAAAATATCATCAAACGGTACGAAATGCTGACAAAGTTTTACTAAATAAATAAATAAATTTTCGCAGGCCCTGGGAGTCACAGTGCATCCAGCATTCGCCAAATGGATAATTTCCATCGAGCTGGCGCAAATGATTGTTGGTCTAATTGTCAACTCGTACGCTCTCTCCATGAAAAGTTGGTTCTACTCTTTGCCTCTTGTATCCCACGCTGAATTTAACATTTTAACAATTTTTTCAATTATAAGACATACTTAATATGCAAATTTCCTTACGATGTAGTTCAAGGGGTCCACTGCGCCAGAAATCCGAAAGCTATAGGGTTACAGATGGCAACCTATGCATCCTTCGTCCTAATTTTTACATATCTCTTCCAACACTCTTCCACAAAGATAAAATACACTAAGGAGGACAAAGAAAAGACCAAGTCGAGTTAATTGTGCTCTTATATACCATGTATCCAAATATGTACATGTTTATTTCCCATGAAGGAATAAAGCAAGAATAAATAGCAAGCTCGTCAACAATAAAACTTTGTTTTAAAAAACAACTTGTGGTAACAATTTTTTTAATGAGTTGTGCGCTCCATGAAAACTGGAGCATTGCTCATGCACGGAACAAAGAGAATGGGCTGCTTGCCCCTCTCGTGCGGTGGGAGTCGGTATTTGTTTGCTTTTACGTTTCTCTCTCGTTTTGCTGTGTATTTCCATGTGCATCTTTTTATACTGCTGCCTTCAATGCAATGGAGCCAAGCGAAATCGCTGTTGATTAGTGTGTGGTTGTGATTGTTATAAAGTCAGTTCCAAAATTTGGCTGATTTAATTGGATTATTTGGATACTCGCGTGTGGAACAGTAATAAGTTTGAAGGTGTGGGATCAATTGAACGGTTGATTGGTTTCGAAGTCTCTGTTCAGTCGCCCCTGGCGAACAATATGACGAAATCAGGAAAACGAGTTGCAAAGAAACGACCAGCTCGAAGAAAAAAATGGACCACGCCCAGTGCGGAGATGAAGGAGCAGCAGAACCTTCTCCCACCATCACCACCCTCGGCAGCGTCGTCCCCGTCGTCATCTTTCCTCCCAGAGGTTGAAGGAGTTGAAGAAGGTGGAGGGGGCGAAGACCCGGTGATACGAATGATGAATCCCCCCGAAATATCCCCACTCTGCACACCGAATACAGAAGCTATGGAAAAAGAAGACGAAGATCTGCATTGTCTCATCTTATCGTGTTCAATTTGTACTACAGAGTTTCCTGCCAACGAGGAACCGAAAGTACGGTTTCCGGGGTCGTCAGATGAAGATTGGAAGGACTTGGTGTTTCGTGCCCTTTGTATGCACTTAAATATCCAAGATTTTTATGAGAAGATTGTGTCTACTGAGAACGGAATAAATGCAGCGATGATGGCATTTCACATGTGCCAAGAATGCCTGTTGTATGGTTGGCGATTAGTAGAACTCGACCAATATCTGAGCACCTTGAAAACAGAAATAAACAGTTTGGCAGATTCTTTTCGAACCATAATCAGTACGTTTATGTCACCAACAGAAAACGATGATCATAATGGAGAGGTGGAGGTTGGTCTCGTATTTATGAGGAACTTTAAGACATTAGCTACCCAAAGTAAGAAAATCCCAAGTTTATACATCACATCCCCATTTACTATTATTACTGGAATATAACTTTAACTATGACTATGATACGATATATTTTGTGTCCGATAAAAAGGTGCTCCTCTGATTGGTACTGTTGAGGAATCCAATGTGATGGATGATTTGAACTTGAATTACACTCTTGATGACGTTGTCGATGGAATATTAAACGAGCCCACGTTCGCAAACACGGAGGAATTACAAGAAGAACCCGTAAATGACAAGGATGAACTGAGCTTGAACGAGTCGTCGATATCCAACGGCAATGACACACAAGAAGAAGAGTTATTATTCATGAATGGCACCGAGGGCACAGAAGGACACTTTAATGATGATGATAATGAAGATGAATTTGATAGGATATTGTCACCTTCGCCACCTTATTCCCCGTTGTCACCGCTATTTATGGAGGATACGAGTGTGACGATTCACGATTCGTTAAATATGAACGGGGAGGATTCTTCCCTTGGCCACAACGACTTCATACAAGAAGAAGAAGGGGAAGGAAATACCAGGTCAACGTGTGACGTCGATGATCTGTTTGTTGACAAAATGTGTGAAAATGCTTCCCCGTAAGAGCAATTAAATAATTACTAATACTCTAATACGGTGATGAATAATCATGGTATGCTTTTATAGTTGACATTTATTTCGAACTGTCTGTTCCGTTATTATAGATCATTTTATCCTACTATGGAAGATCTACCGACTCCAGTTGTTCAGCCGTGTAGCCGTAGAGTGGATCGTAATCGTAAAACGAGACTATCTCCTAAACCGAAACGTGAACCACTGAAAAAAATTAAATCGAAACGAATAAGTAAAGTCGGAAAGCAGAAAAAAGATAAAGTAACCTTATCGAAAAGAAACTCCACCCCACGTCGATGTGCCGTCCATAAAAATAATAAGACCAAGAAGATTGTCAATTCTTCAGGCGCTCCACGAAGATTACGAATAAGCAAAAAAGTTATTGCCTCTTTGCCCTCAAAAGATGTTGAAGCCTACAAAATTCTGACGAGACTGGGCATTCCTTTTCAATTGGTTCAAGTTAAAGTTGAAAATCTAAGTAATTAGTTCCGTTAATTTAATAATTATACTGATTATAATAATCACGTCATGTAATTTTGGTATATGTACTCATAAATATTTGTGGTTCTAGGTTTGCAAAATGTTTTGAACAATGGGATTATAACGATGGAGGATGAATCTCCTGGTGGTAAATCGAAACATGTGGTTCGCGTTAATTCTGTATATTATGATGAACTTTTTGATATAAAGATTGACCAACGAATTAGAACCTCCCCTACTAGGCATTCCCCCCGCTCAACTTGTAAAAAAGCCACAAAACCGAAATCTCGTGCTCTTCTTGACCCCAACAGCAGCATCGTCCCGATAGTTAATGAAAATGAAATGGTTAAGGAACTGAGCATATCACCAATCAGCACCACAAGAGAACAAGAGATAAAGTTTGGAGATTCTCATCGAGAAATAAATCATACAAGATACATTAGTCCACAAAACAATGATGATTTTCGTTCAATACAAATTCACTCCCCTGTTCTACAGCTGCAGAATGGATCAAATGGAGATGTTTCTTCGACTTGCAACAATCTGCCCCCACTGTTACAACCAGTTGACCCTTTCAATGACAAGGGCGACATATCCTCGTCTTCAGAAAACGATCTGACTTGTCAAGCTCCATGCCTTGCTCCCTATTTTATCACTGCTGATAATAGTAATGATGCTAATCGTCATCAACTTGGCTAATTCTAAAATATTTTCTTATTCATCAATGTTGATAAGAACATGCAAAAGATTCTTATTTCTTTCTACTTATGCATTGTAACTTTGTTATCATTATTGAACTTGTGCATTCTTATGTTTTTCTGCAACTTATCCAGTTATGTTTATGCTACTCGAGATTTAATATATACTGACACACAACATAGACCTGTATGAAATAAAGACTAGTTTTTAATAAAAAAAAGGAGAACATCGTGATTTCAGCCCTTTATCAAATTTAGACTCGTCTGGGTGATATGATATTAATAGAAAACGACCGATGACATGAATTTGAGACGGATGACGGAAAACTGCTGAATGAAGCTCTATCATTCCACCCCAGCAGCAACAGTTCTTGTCGCACTTTTCTCTGCGATCGGATCGGCGAGAAGAAAAATAAATTTCAACTGACTGATCTAATCCACCTTGAAATTTTATTGTAAGCGAAACAAGACAAGCGTGAGTGTGGTCGATTAAAGTAGTGTGTTATTAATTGCTGTAGAATAATTAAATTGAGTTTTCAGGATTTCAGAGAAAGTCTGAGGTATTTATTACCGAAAAAAATAAGTCATCAGGAATACCACGAATAATAGTACTCATGGGTCGTACTATTATTAAGACCTGGACCTACTGCGCCGGTTTTGCTGTGCGATTGTGTCTATTCTTGACCAATTTCCACCATGTTTTCCACCAGCGGATCGAGGTATCCACGCCTCTTAATTCTTGGCTTAGAGGTAACAATAATAATGAGCCAAATTGGATGACTTAATGTATATCTATGCTTAAGAACTAGGTGCAGTTTTAATAATTTCATTTGTTATTGCAGTTCAAGAAGGACTATACCTAATGCGGAAGGGTATCAGTCCTTATACTGGGGACACTTTCCATGAGACCCCTGTTGCTCTCTTGATTGCTGATTATCTAGTCAAATTGCCAGAATTATTAATCTGTCTGGTTTTCATTCTTTGCGATCTATTAACCGCAGTCGCTCTGGCTTCTGGGGTGGAAGAAGCAAAACGATTTTATGTAAGCTATGCAGTGTAGTAATTACTCAACGATATATCACATGAAATTCATGAAATCTCTGACTGACCGAATAACTTGACTAAAAAATATTATCATGTTTTTGTTTGTAGTTTATAAAGTCTCAGAAAACTTCGAAATATATTCACTCCGAAGACACGAAGCATTTGAAAATTGAGGAGAAGGAGAATTATGGCGAGCTTGTGATTATGTCGTATCTTCTCAACCCTTTCACAATTGTTAATTGTGTAGGTCAAACAACTACGGTGTTTGGAAACCTTGTCATGGCAGTGAGTATCCTCAGCATGCTAAAAGGTAAATTGTTGATAGCTGAAAGAAAATAGGCAAAAATATTCTTCTTCCTTATAAAACTTTTATGTGATTACTTATTTGGTTATTATTAGGATACCGTCTACTAACTGGCATCAGTCTCGCATTGTGTACTTATCAGTCGCTCTATCCGGTCAGTTTAATTTTTCCAGCCATCATCAGTATTTACAACAAAGAGTCTGAGACTGAAGGCTCCAAGAAGAAATCAACCTTTACAACCTCCGCTGTCAAAACGGTTTTGAGCTTTCTTATCCCATTTTTGAGTTTGATGTACATTTCTCACTTTGTTACAAATGACTGGGGATTTTTGGACAGCACTTTTGGATTTATGTAAGCTTAGTCATTCATCGTTGTGTTCACATCAATTCTTACTGTATTGAATCATTGTAATTCTTCATTGATCATCATTTCATCAACAAAGTACAAGCCTCTAAAATTTTATTATTGATTTTGTTTACCCAGATTGAATGTACGTGATCTTAAACCAAATATCGGACTATTCTGGTATTTTTTCACCGAGATGTTTGGACACTTTCACCTCCTCTTCATCTGCACATTTCAAATTAATGCTTTCATCTACATGATTCCATTGACGATACGTTTCTTTAACGAACCGTCCATCCTAATTTACTCGTTCTGCGCTCTCATGTCCATCTTCAAATCATACCCCTGCATTGGGGATGTTGGATTCTACTTGGCACTGCTTCCAATGTGGAAACATTTATTTCCATGTAAGTTTATTAGACTATTTGATGATAAGATTCTAATATTCCCACTTTCCCAGTAAAAAATTTTATTTACACGTGCGTTTTTTGACTAGTTATGCAACAAAAGTTCTTGGTGGGCTGTTTCTTCATTGCGACTTCCGTACTAGCACCTATTCAGTGGTTTTTGTGGATTTACTCTGGATCTGCCAACGCCAATTTCTACTTTGGGGTTACGATTGCGTTTGGAACTGCACAAGTACGTACATATTATAAATAATGACAACGTTTATATAGTATCAATACGCAGTAAGATAAGACTCGCCGCTTAATTTATTTACAGATTTTCCTGTTAACTGATGTTCTTCTGGCCTACATGAAACGAGAGTATTACCTCTGTCACGGAATGAAAAAAGAAATAGATGGGAAGCCAGCTGGCTTATCTTTACAATAAACCGAGTGAGCTAAAGTCGAAGTCGAATTAACGTAATTTACAAAGGTTAACTAAATTATTTGCGATACTTTAAGCTAGAGCATGTCTTATCCTTCTGTTTCTATTCATACTATATACTGTCTGTTTGTGTAACTACTTGTTTTTACGTTTTTCACATATTATTATGAATACATACATATTCACATATATACAAAAAATCAAAAGTTTGCAAGTCTCAATTTATTAGTTGGGAATATTCTTGTCTAAGTACAGTAAATTAATTTTAACCTCCTGCTACATATATATATATATATATATAATAGAAAGATTTTCCATCATTGTTTGAAATTGATTTGTACAAAATTATTATTATAATTATTTATTCCTGTGGTGGTGGACAAATCTCCCAGTTCTCCCCCCAACGTTCTTTCTCCTCTGTGCGTTCTTTGATCACTTGTGAGGCATGAATGATGGGACAGCACAATGGTTTAACCTCAAACTTGCAAGGGATTTCTCCACCAAGGAGTTTGAATCTTTGCTTTTTGTCCCAGACATAATCGGCCTGTTCGCAGTTATAGTATAAAAAAACATTTGCCAATATTCTTCTATACCCAGTGCTAGTAAATTGTTGTAACCATTTAAATTATGAGAATGTGACCTCGTATGTTGAAAAGTGATCAAAAGCAGGCCGAGGATCTGGAGGTTTCCCACCATCCATGCAATACGTAGGAATGCAGCTTGGAGGAAGTCCTCGCTCAGCAACCTCCGCATCAATTTTTCTTGCTTCCTCCTGCCAAGCAAAATAGACTTTCATCAGTACAAGTTGTAAAGAAATATGATGAATTTCTTGTAAAAAAAATCGCATACCATTTGCTCCTTGGCGCAATACTTTGGAACATCATTTAGTGGTGGAGTTTTGTATGAGGCTCGGTAGCTTGACTCTACACATTCTGGTGGATATATACACCGCTCTTTTTCCAACGCCTCCATTAGGCGATACTTGGCTTGTTTGATTGCCTGCTTTGTGGGGAATTGATTTTGAATGGGACATTCCGCAGTTCCTAATAAATACAACAAACAAATAAGAGACCAATTTAATAAAACAAGAAGAACCCACATATGCATTCTTTACTATAGACTTTTAGATATATTTCTTGCTTGCTATTTTAGTAAATAAATATAATTACCTCCAGCACACAGCAGTTTCGGACGCCGTGGAGGCACCCGTGGGTCTGACACGTATCTCGGCGTGCCCCACATGATGGGATACTTTCTCGTGGGTGTGGTCGTTGCTTGATGTAATTTGCATGGAAATTCACATCCGCAGCAAGCCGCGCAGAGGTTACTGTCATTGGGACAAGGACAACATGGAATTTCTTTTGGACATCGGCAGCAGTCGGATGTGTCTGTTCCTGGCTTTGTGAGATCCTCTTTCTTCAGTCGTGGCCAGCATGGCTTTGCCTTACGTGTAGAAAATCGCAACTCAATTCCGCAAGGATTTTGACAGTCCTATACAAAACATTATTTCACATATCGTCCATATTAATAAGTATATACATAACTTGTAATGATGCATACATTGTCACAACAAGGGGGCTCTCCACATCCCCCACCCCCGCAAGGAGAATTCTGGGAGCAAATTTGCTGGTAATGACGTTGTGGCATATCAAAGGCCCGTGAGTAGGTCGTCTCAGTCGTGAAGGGACAGAGAAACTGTTTTGGGAGGAAGCTTCCCTGAATTGCACACAAATTAAGAATACAATAATTATTATTTAGCAAAAAATGTCTTGAATAATTTAATGTAACTTAATATCGGTATCATATGCATGTACACGTTGCGGGCGAATTCCTTCTACCACTCGATGCCGCTGCGTTGAAGCGTCTTTGTGAATGCACTCGGTGAAGTCGTGGTTGTACGTCGTTTCAAAGCGGAATCGTTCCGGGGGTGGAGTACAATCGCAATATGGCGGAATTCCAAAGCGAGGTCCTTTACTGAACGAGTACTGCACCAATATAGAAGAAAGGCAAAAAATAATAGGTAATATTGAATATTTATAGAATTTATGTTCTTATGTATACCCACCCTTTGCTTCCAAACATCTTGAGAATCCCCACCTTGACGATCTGGAGCAAAGTCTTTGGAGCTGATTGGGCTGCACCACTGCTTGTAATTGACAGCATACTCTGACGATCCTGTCTTGTCCGTACAATGTTCTGGGGTAGGGAATCTTCACACGAGTACAAATTACAGTATAAAGTCACCCATACACACTTTATATTGCTGCTCAAACTTACTTTCCTCCAGATTTTGGGAAGCACATGATTTCTCCGAGATTGATGAAATCCGCTATTGAGTGTCAACTTTACTTGGGGGTTGGAGGTTGGTGCAGAACTGGGATCCGATAGGTTTTACGGCGAGACAAAACAGATAATACAATTTAACGGGTTAACAGACTTCTTGTGTACAAAAAATTGACCAGACTTTAAACTTTATAATTTGACTTGACCTCGGATCGCTTGAAATTGCGATTTAGTTGCCTTTTGCGTTATCATGTCAACATAAATACGACGCGTCGTGCATGATTTGAGTGAAATATTTTCAACAGTATCCTGTCGACAGAATGCAGTATTTTACTCGCCCTGTTCAGTAAGGGATAATTCCAACTAAATGCAAATAAACGTAACTATGTATCGTTGCACTTTTGCCTTTATTTGACCAACAAATAAACACTGAATAAATATGAATACGCATCTTTATTCAATTTAGGATAGATGGGTTGTGTTATTGCTTAAACCCGAGCCATAACTACAAAATATCGGCGTTTCAGTGTGAGCACGTTGGCATCAGGGTCATCATTAGGAATGGTAGCGATTTTCAGAAATCTATAAATAAATTTACCAGTTAAATCTCTAAATTATGTAAGATTGCTAAATAATACTAGTTGCTTGTCATATAATTTTAATCTAAACTTATCACCAGATTCAACGTACCTGTCTTTTATATCTTGCATAAGTTTCTTCCCTTCGTCTTCACCTTTGACCTTACAGAATGTTTGAAATGCTGAATAGCTTTTGATGGCTCCCAAAATTTTAGAAAGATTTGTGGTCACACCAATCTCATAGTCATACTCACTGAAATTTTAAAGTTGTGATATAATACAAATATATTTTTTAATGATGACGAGAATGATATATGTTTAAGACCGTGTCAGATCACTGTAAGGAATGGTAATATCGCGATATTTGTTGAAGGCTAGAGCAGCAGGTGGAGCAAAATAGGGATCCATAATTTTGTGAACCTAAACATGGAGAGGAATATTTATTACGGTTTCAAAAATAATGAAAAATGTGAACGTTTACATCTTGCATAATCTTTAAAAATTGTTGATTTCGTTCCAAGTCATCCCCAATCTCAACAATAAGGTAATCCATGCAAAGGAAAGCCATCACACCCCCATCACACAGCACTCGGCGTCCTTCTTCGTATACCTTGTCCAAATCAAACCAATGAGCAGCCACACAGGCCGTGATTAGTTGTACGCTATGATCCTCCAACGCTATGGTCTCGGCCGGCGAAACGCTGTAAACATTAAAATTTAAAATCTCTATGCAAAGTAAAATAATGATTCGTGAACATTAAACAAACCAGAAATTGACGTTGTTGCATTCTTCCTCCGCGGTTCCTTGTAGGGCTTGACTAATTTGTGCTTGGCTGATATCTGTCCCCAGAACTGTTTCAAAATATTTTGAAAGGAGAAACGTGCATTGGCCAGAACCGCATCCTAAATCCACTGCTTGCTTTAGGGGCCCTGTATACTGAAGAATATGCACAATCATTTAAATATCTAGCATCACACAAGGAAATAAATAGCATAATAAATAGTCAATTAGTGTACCTTTTCGCGTAAAAACTCAACTATTCTTTCGATCAAACGAGCTGGTGGTTTTTCCCTGTAGTTCTTGTAGAGCAAAGCATGATCTGGTTCTTCAAATTGGCGAAACGACGACATAATCTTCCCTCAACTTGGCTGCACATCCAGTGAGACAGCCAAAGTAGTACAGCGGATATTATATGGTTCAGAAAATTGTACAATGTGATATAATGATTTTTTTACAATAAACGAGATGAAATATTCGTCTCATCTCATTCTCGTTCATCATTTCATCATTAGTTCGCTTTCTTTGTCTGATCAAGGTGCCCCTGAAGGATGACTATTGTGTAGTGTGTGCGGTATCCAAAATCATTTTGTCGACAAAACAAACTTGACAATTTTTTTCAGATTAGATTTTGTATGTTTTTATATTCAATATTGACGCGAATTTTTGGGGAGGTTTTGTTGCTTCTAATTTGACAACTATTTCATCCGTCATGCAGTGAGTTCAATTCAGTCAAACAAACACTCGGAATATAAAAGTATGAGCGGCGGGGGACGTGGAGGATTTGGGGGGAAGGGGAAAATTGCTTTTGGGAAAATCAATCTAGTTTCCACAGTCGCAGGGGTAGGTGAGGAGGACGAGAGGAAGGATGACGACGGTGGTAGTGGTGGTTTTGGTGTATTCGGAAGTGGGACTGCCTTCAAACCTCCCCCTCGACCAGAGGAGAAGAGCGAGGAGGAGTTGCAAATGGAGAGGACGATGGGCTTCTCTGGATTTGGAACGGTCAGAAACTTACCACAGAAAGTGGCCAAGACATTCGACGTGAAGGAAATGGTGGAGGCGATAAAGAAAGCGAACAAGGGGAAGGCACCCAGCACGACAACAGATAATGTTATCAAACCTCTAGAGATTGAAGAGGAAGTGGTTAAACCCAAGAAGAAACAGGTACGCTTAGCATAGAATTCGAAAATTATACTTGGTATAATTATACTACTAATTATACTTAAATAATTATTATTCCATGTACTTTTTATAGGAAGTGGTGGCAGAACCAAAAAATACAGATGAGAATTCTGATTCTGGGGATGAGATTGTAGGTCCCATGCCAGTTGCAGCAACGTCAACTTCGAAAGTGAAATCCAGGGACTCTAGTGACGATGACAGCAGCGATGATGATGATGACGACAAAGCCAAGGGTGAATCAGAAAGAGAGGATGAACTGGACGAAGATGTGGACAGGTATTAATATTTTGAATTGTGTCGTAGAAATAACAATCACTAATGATTTGTATTACTTGAATAAACGACGACGACGGTCGTATTCAGGTTTTTAGAAATGGAATTAAATTATGACCAGATTTTTTTTTCTTTTGTACTCAGTGACACAGAAGCCGAAAAGAACTTTCCTTTAGAGCATCAGTACAACATTGAGCATGGTCTTCGACCCGTGATGGGGCTGGCAGTTGACAGGTATTATATGATTTACTACATTATAATATAGGAAATAAGCCCTTCTAAGGGCTTAACAGAACTTAAAGTGGAGATTACATTTTAGTGTACTCATTGGAACACTACATACATTCACTACCTCAGTCAAATTTTAATCCATCTCCAAAAGATTAAATTGCATATCGTCAGGGCACAACTTTCTCAAAACTTGTACCGTCCCAAAGTCGAATAAAATTATATACATATTTATAGCTCTGCTACTCGGTTCGCATCTGGATCCCTGGACTATGAAGTAAAACTTTGGGACTTTACTGGACTTCGGAATCGCCATGCTCTCAGAACTATAAAACCATGTGAAAAGTACGCAATTTTTAACATACATAAATGCATATTATGGAGTGGTTAACACTAATATGCTTATCATGTTTTTTTTCTATAGCCATCCCATTAAACATGTCAGCTTCTCTGCCAATGGGGAGTCACTTTTAGTTATTTCAGGAAGTGCCCAGGTATACTTTAATAAGAATACATATTAAAGACACGTTGATTTAACTATTCATTTATTATCCAGGCCAAGGTACTTAATCGCGATGGTTCCGAGCTGCTAGAGTGTATCAAAGGAGATCAGTACATTGTAGACATGGCTCGCACTCAAGGTCACACGGCAATGCTTTCAGGAGGAATGTTTAATCCTAAAAATAAGTCAGAGTTCATGACATGCTCAGATGACAGGTAATTACAATACTACTTGATTTTATTGTCATCTGATTTATTTGTAATATTGATGCTCTGTTTTATGTTGCTGCAGTACTGTGAGGCTGTGGGAGATTGAGAATTCCAGAGCACACAAAACCCTAGTGAAACTAAAAAATGCTGGAGGACTAAAGAATAGGGTCACGGCCTGCACCTACTCCCGAGACGGCGTCTGTTTCCTGGGTGGAGGGTCAGACGGTACAATTTGTATGTGGGATACCCGAAGAGCTCTCGTCCTACCTACAGCAACAATTAAGGCAGCTCATCAGAAAAATAGTGATATTTTCCATCTTACATACTCTAACTCGGCGTTAGAGGTTGCTTCGCGAGGGGAGGACGGTGTCGTCAACATCTTTGATACGAGGAATTGGAGGAAACCCCTGTTCAAGAGTAGTCCTGGAGAATTTCCTGCAAAATATTTCACGTACACACGCTTAGCACAATATTCGCATTAATTCAATATATTTTTACATTGTTTTTCCATGTGTTATTCTAGGACGGATTTATGCTTCAGTCCTGATGATCGTCACCTCTGCATCCCCTCCCTTCCCCATGGAACGACGGGGAGGACCAAGGACGAAGCCATTAGCCACTCCTCTCTCAAATTCTTTTCCACAAAGTCCCTACGAGTTGTGAAAGAACACCCATTTCCAAACCAGATCGTCATTCGCTCCGTCTGGCACCATCGTCTCAACCAAATTCTTTTATCATTTGCTTCTGGGACTATCGGGATCCTGTATGACACTACAAAATCACAGCGTGGAGCACTATTAGCCCATGGGAAGGGACCCAAGAAGCAGAAAGCCATGGGTGTGGTCGAAGACATGCACGGAAAGGTGGTTATCACTCCAAACTCACTCCCTCTCTACAAGACAGAAAGATCAAAAAATCCTAAGAGAGAGGAAGCCAAGCTACGGTAGATATATATATAATAATATTATAACGAGCAATAATGATACATGGATGTATTTTGGATACTTACACAAATATTTTTTTAATTATAAATAAACTACTGTAGAGCGGACCCAGTCAAATCTCATCGACCGGATCTCCCCATCACCGCTGGATCTGGTGGTCGTGTCGCTGCGTCTGGTTCTACCCTAAGCTCTTATGTAATTCGAAATCTGGGTTTGAGTAAATCTTTCAAAGATGATATGGACCCAAGAGAAGCAATTCTCAGATTTGCAAAGGATGCTGAAGAGAATCCAATTTGGGTCACACCAGCTTATAAAAAGTACTTATCAAGTCAATTCGTCATATAATAAGCGCGCATTTTTTAAGCATTATGTTACTAATTTTTTATTTCGTTTGCAGAACTCAGCCAAAAGCAATTTTTGAAAGACCCCCGGAAGAAGAACCACCTGATGCCAAGAAACAAAGGCTTTTATAGAACATACAGCCACACACTTTAGCTCCTTCTTTTTAAACCTTTACTTATCGTGACAAGTTCTTAAAATTTAGTTTGTCTATGTTTTTTTTCTTTGCACATAGAAATAAAGGAGTTGTTATGTTGTATATAATAGAATTCAGGACTACTACGCAAGTATTCTACTACTATGTAAATAGTCTCATAACGTTGTAGTGGTTGTGGAGAAGACGAGAAAAAACAGTCAGTCTGTGATGTAGGTGGACACGAGAGGATTAAGGGATTACGAGGGTTCTTTTTCAAGGGGATGAGGGCAACACTCTATTTCGGGGTTGTGCATTGGACCCAGATGATGATTGTGCAGGAAAGAAAAGAGTAGTAGTAGTAAGCGTGGAACATTATTCAGAGTTTGGTCTCGTAATACATTCTGGTGAGAATAAAAATATTTTGCCAGTGTGACCATCAAGTCAAGTTATCTTGTTCTGAACCCAGTTTTGCCTAAAGAATAAGTGATTATAAAAAGATTGAATTGTTTCAACACAGTGTAAAGTTGGCGTGTGTCACCACAGTGAATGACATGACAGTTCTAGTTCTTCAGTCTGCTATGGATCTTGCATCTCATCATCATTATCCTGAGAACATCCTCCCTCTCGATGCATCCTAATAATTTATGTGCCCAATCTATGTGGTCTCTGAGAGGAGGAGTGTTTCATCGGCCCGTGCCTTTGTTAAGGAAGAGATGAGAGAGGGGGTGATGTGTTGATGATGCACTTTTGTATCCAGGGCAAGCAGAATATGGATTTGATCACTACTGGCATAACCACCACTTGAGCTGTATTTGACTGGACAAGAACAAGAACTGTCAGAATACGGAGCAGAAGAGATTAAAAAGATACATAAGCCGCTGTGCTGGTTAATATTATTATTTGCTTTGATGCTGGAGAAGAGGGGATTATTATTTGTGAAGGAGATTCCAGCAACGACTGCAACTGCTGAATCTATATATATATTATGTATAAGCTCATCCATAGTTAATCGTAATTAGGAGAGAGGCTGAAAAGAGCAGGGTTCAACTCATAAGCACAAACTCATGATCGTCACCACATTATTCCATTCCACATCCTTCATCATAATTCATCAGGAGTCTCGAGAGTCTCCATCAAACAGATGCAGCAGAAGCAGAAGCAGTGTAATACTGAATAATACGCGATCATGGAATATCTTCTACTCATGACATGAGCTTTGACGACTTCATCGTCAGCCGTGAAGCCGCAGTCATAGAATTTCCACATGCAAACACAACCAGGACATCAGCTCAGCGACTACATCAGCAACAACAACTTTCCAAGGTCTATGCAAAGGCAAACCCTCGACGAGACTCCACTCGCCATTTCCCCAGTCGTCACTCGGTCACTTGGTCCACCTCGTCCACACCCACCTTCCCACCCATCATCTAGTCATCGTCGTCGTCCACACTCCTCATGGGGACTCGGCGCAAACCTTCGGATACAAATCAGTGAGTGAGTTAGTGATAGTGAGTTCGTTGCTGGAAGTGAGGAGTGAAAGTGGTGAAAGGTGCAGGGTGACGATGACGAGGAGCGTAGGTGGCAGAGGTGGCCGAGGACCAGCTACAACTAGGACGCCTCTTCTTCTCGTTGTGGGGCTTATCCTTATTGCTTTAAATTTTACGTTTCTCACCTGCAGCGGGGACAGTGTTCCCAGTGGAGGTGGAAACACAAGGAACAATAGTGACTGGACTACAAGAAGGAGGAAAAGTGGTTGGACTGTTGCTCAGCTCATGACGACCACCTTTCCCCACGCGTCTTCCAATGACTCTGATCTGTACATTTGCAAGCTTCTAGTTGGAGGTGGTGGTGGCGAGAGTCCTCGGAATGCAAAGGTGATGAACAGGGTTGTCGGATCTTCGTTGTCTTCGTCAGAGATGATTTTCGAGGAGGACATTATCCTGCCCATGAGTTCACCCACAACAGCAGCACCTCCCAGTACAGACGTCCCTAAGAACAGGGGAAGGAGGGGAAGGGGCCGGATTATTCGAAAGGGAAGAGCAGCCACTGCAAGAAGGGAGAGAATCTGGGACTTTGGTGTTATACCGTATGAAATTGACGGTAATTTTAGTGGTTCTCATAAAACCCTCTTCAAACAAGCCATGCGTCACTGGGAGAATAACACCTGTGTCAAGTTCGTGGAGAGGACGGAAGAGCATCCCAACTACATTGTCTTCACGGAAAAGGCGTGCGGATGTTGCAGTTTTGTGGGGAAGAGAGGCAATGGTCCCCAGGTGAGTGCATGAGACTCGAATGCTTTTATATTTATTTATATAATGTATTTGTAACATGTACAATATACTTTTCCAGGCCATCAGTATAGGAAAAAACTGTGACAAGTTTGGAATCGTGGTGCACGAATTGGGTCATGCCGTTGGGTTTGTTTTAACAAATCTTGATAATAATTATTCAATAATTATTGATTTTTTTCTATTCATTCTATATATTTGCAACAGGTTTTGGCATGAGCACACTCGACCAGACCGAGATGATCATGGTATGTAACTAACTATGACTGTCTCTTTGACTTTGTCTCAAATTAGACTTAATCACAGTCAGTTGGGTATATTCTCTTAGTATAATTTGAGTTATCTAAACTATTAGCATCCTTTTATAGTGGTCATCATTCGCGAAAACATCATGACGGGACAAGAGTACAACTTTAACAAGTTGACAGGCGAGGAGGTTAACTCTTTAGGAGAAAATTATGACTTTGACTCAATAATGCACTACGCCCGCAACACCTTTTCGAGATCCACCTTCCTCGACACGATCCTCCCACGAGAGGACCCCAACTCGAGACATCGACCAGAGATTGGGCAGAGGATTCGACTCTCTTCCGGTGACATTGCGCAGGCCAATCGCCTTTACAAATGTCCCGCGTGTGGGAGGACGCTCCAAGAACCGACGGGAGCACTTGCCTCACCCTTCCATCCCGGACTTCGCGATAACTCGCTGGAGGCAAATGGCAACAATGGATCGGCTCAGAGTAGCAGCAATAACCATACTGCTCACATTATTAGCACCACTTCCCTCATGAACAGCGGTACTGCCAGCAACCATGAGGGTGTCGTTGGCGAAAAATGCGAGTGGCGGATCGTTGCAACTCATGGGGAGACAATCATTCTCAACATTTCCGATTTTGGTAATAGAAATTATGAATTATTCATCATTAATAAACACAAAACAAGCTTCTAAGTAAAGAAGTTTTTATCATGTCTGTAATACTAAATAGTATGGTACTTACAAAATTGACCTAGTATACATACATACGTACCGTAAATTGAAAACCACATATAATATGAAATCTCGTAAATTATTTGTTCGGTTTAGGCGATGATTTTAAAATTTTGCTATTGTTACCCCAATCAGACCTCCCATATTCAGACGGATGCAAATATGATTACTTGGAGATACGAGATGGCTACTGGCACAAGTCCCCACTTTTGGGTCGCTTTTGTGGATCCAATCTTAAGTTCGAGGGTCCCATTTTGTCTTCTGGAGCAAGGATGTTGCTCACCTACACCACGACAAAGCCAGTCTCGTCCTACCGTGGATTTTCTGCTTCGTACGAAGCAATTTGTGGGGGTGACCTCATGGATGAGGCTGGAGCATTAGAATCACCCAACTTTCCCGACGAATACCTGCCCTCCAAAGAGTGCATTTGGAGAATCTCGGTCCCAGACGGCTATCAAGTTGCTTTATCCTTCCATTCCTTTGAAATTGAGAACCATGAAAATTGTGTCTACGACTTTCTCGAAATTCGTGATGGGCTGACTGCCAATTCCACCCTGTTGGGGACATATTGTGGATACTACCCACCCTCCCCACTAACTTCCTCCTCCAACAGCCTCTGGGTGAGATTCGTGTCTGATGGGAGCGTGCAAAAAGGTAAAGTTATTTTGGAATTATTTTTTACTGGCATGAAAATTTATTTCGAATTTCAGAAAACAAAACGACTACAATTATTCTAAACGATTATTTTTGGCTTTTTGTTTCATTACGAAATTAAAGTTATGAAGTGGTAATTCATGAAGGAAAGTGTCAAGTTGAGCGAGAATGACAGTCAAATGGCTTCCTAGATGGATTTCTGAATCTATGACTGTTGATTTGCAGGTGGATTCTCAGCCTCCTATCTAAAAGAACTGGATGAGGTAATACTCTAGATAATCAGTGCTTATCCTATACGCTCAGTCAGCTTAATGCATTTTTATCATCGTAATTCTTAATTATTTTGTCAAACCCTGTTCTCTGTGTAACAGTGTGCCCGTGGACTTGATGATTGTGAACACACGTGTAAAAACACAATCGGTTCGTACACGTGTGGATGTAAGTTTGGCTTTGAGCTCCACTCCAACGGAAAGGAGTGTGAAGACGCGTGCGGAGGTTTATTGGAGGAGTCAAATGGAACCCTGACGTCCCCTTCCTTCCCAAATCTCTACCCCTCCAACAAGCAGGTAGTGAAAGCAAGAGAAAGTTGTTTTGTGTGACCAACTTGCCAATGAATATTGTACAATATAACAATAATGAATATTAAATGTTACAGTGCGCGTGGGAGCTGTCAGCACCTCCGGGAAATCGCATCACCCTTAACTTTACCCACTTTGACTTGGAAGGGAACAATCAAGAGTGCGACTATGACTCGGTGGAGGTGTACTCAAAACTTGGGGCGGACGAGTTGAAACGCCACGGTGAATATCCCTATATCCTTAATAGAACGCCATTATTATTCAAAAATTATAATACCGATCGTGTTTTAACATCGGAAACAGGGACATTTTGTGGGACTAAGCCCCCGCCCATGATCTCCTCCGAAGGCTCTTCCCTCCGTATCGTCTTCACCTCTGACAACTCTGTCCAAAAGAGTGGGTTCGCTCTAGTCTGGTGATTTTTAATTAATTTATATCATGATATATTGGTCACTAATTTTCACAATTACATATTCTTATGCTATGCAATTATGTTTATATGTACATATTTATAACGTATGGCTTTATGTATATTTTGTTCTTCAGGATTACGGACCAAGACGAGTGTGCCGTAGAGAATGGGGGCTGTGCTCACATTTGCAGAAACACAGTTGGTTCCTATGCATGTCTTTGTCACAATGGGTTCACCCTCCACGAGAACGGCCATGATTGCAAAGAAGGGGGTTGCAAGTTTGAACTGACGAATCCACCCACACCCTCAATGGGCATTGGTGGCGTCATGGGAAATGAGCTAGAGTCGCCCAACTACCCTGAACCATACCCGGGCAAGAAGGAGTGCATTTGGATCATCACGACGGTTCCAGGACATCGGGTGAAACTCGTGTTTGACGAGTTTGACGTGGAGCCACAGCAAGACTGTAGCTACGATGCCCTATGGGCTTACGACGGAGCCAATTCGGACGCCCCACTACTGGGTAGATTTTGTGGTTCAAAGATACCACACCCACTCATCTCCAGTGGGAACGTATTGAGTGCGCTGTTCAAGTCTGACGGTAGTGTACATCGACGGGGATTCCACGGGCGGCACTACTCACTCTGCGGTGGTCTTCTCTTTGCCGTAGTGGGTGAGGATCAAGGGGGGATGATTTACTCGCATGCCTCCTACGGGGACTCGACCTATGGCGACAACGAGGATTGCGAGTGGATCATTGAGCTGGATTCCGGTAACTATGATGACGATGGAGGAGGGGGCGATGCTGACGGCGGTGGTGGCGGCGGCGGCGGCGGTGGGGGAGGACGGCTTTCTTCATCTTCATCTGGAGGACCCAGCTACATAATCCAGCTCACGTTCCTCTCCTTCGAGGTGGAGGACGAGAACGACTGTGCATTCGACTTTGTGGAGATGTATGAGGGCGACGACCCGGGAGGAGCAGGAACGAAAAGTTTGGGAAGGTTTTGTGGAAACAGAATCCCTCCTCCCATTTCGTCCGAAGAGAACGGGTCACTTCTCCTGAGGTTCAAGTCGGACGACACGGTGAATAATTCGACCTAATAATATCATCCAACCTCATTACTTATTTATCAGTACTGTATGTTTCAGGTGAACGGCAAGGGATTTTCAGCCATGTATCGCGCCGTGGAAGCGGGTTCGCCATCATCTAAACAAATACCACCACAAACGCCAATACAGACAGTGCAGTCATTAGTATCCAGGAGTAATAACATTACGAAAGCTACTTAACCGCACCCTTCCATCTAATTAATTAGCAATGTAATTACCATCCACCCACCCACGCACCCAACCTACCAAAACTAAAGCATTTCCATTACCTCTTCTATCTACCTCTCTGACCCGGTATATAAATATATAAATATATATTTCCAACAGCCACTACTACTCGCAGTCAGTCATTTTATCATGCGACTTCAATCCGATTTTGTATGCAGCCGTTATAGTGTTTTTTCAAATTCCATTCCAAATACACAACAATGTTGATAAATATTGCTAATTAACACTTATTATTATTTCAATTAGGAGTATTCTGAATTTGTGAGTAGAATTACGATGAGTTTGTGATGTATAACTTTTATATTTGAAACTGTCGTGTACATTTCATTTGTACATGTACAACTGACCTGCTGTATAATAATAATAATAATGTACTCGTAATGTGTTCTCGTAATGTCCAAGTCGGGTTTTGTTACATAATTTGTGTGTTTGTCGAAGCTTGCGTTGTTGTGTGCCATTGATTATTTCGAATAAATTATTACAGGATATATCGCTGATAATGCAATGATAGTGTATAATAAAGAAGAAATAGGAAAAAAACTTTGTTTGTGGCCTGATTATTAAGGGATTGCGACTTTGATTGGGGTTGTGGTCCACGTGCGGCGATGTCTTAGGAACTGCTTTGAGCTTCGGAAAAGCCCGTCCGTCTCGTGAAGCCAATCCATCAACCCAGTCACTCCATAGTTGACGTTGAATCTACATCAATATTAAACCAGTACAGATTACTGAACATGCCATGCACACAAATGTAAAGTGTTATAGTACTTGAGGTGATGAAAGTCATGAAATTCTGGGGACTTAAAAAACGGAAGGTGAAATCCAGAGTGAACGGTGAGCGTCTCAATGGAGGCGTACACAGTATACGCCCAGAGGATGATGGTGTGGCTCTGCAACAACCCTGGGCCTAAAGCAATCGGAACGACGTTGCTAAAAATATGCTCTAGGGGGTGGCAATATGCTGCTGCAATCGCCACGGGAGAGGTCCTTTCAAATAATCCACCAAAGATTAATTATTACGATACATACTTATGTAAGGTGGGTACTGTCTGGCTGGGCACCATATTTATTCAGGAATGGGTATATCAATGTAAGAGTATGGCTGAGTATGTACCAGGTGTGGTGCTGTTTATGGATCCACTTGTAAATGAGTGGGTGGTGAAGGAGTCGATGGGAGTAGTAGAAAGTGACCTCTCGAACTAGTTGACAAAAGGCGAGGGAGGCGACACAGACAAAGAGACTCGGAGTCTCTGCCGCGATTAGAGCAGGAAGGCGACCCTTGCTCTGATCAAGGTAAAAGTTGCCCATGAGCAGGAAAAGTATGATCCCTTGATTGCGGAGGATTACCCAGAGCAAGTCGTAAAACTGGGCCTTGGAAATCTGCATACACGGTCAAACAACAAGTCAATATTACAGAAATTGAATATTTAAATATTAGAAACGGGAGTCTCACGGGGTAGCTCTTGACGTTCTCCTGTACTCGATATTTCAGCATCCACTCAGGTTTCCCAGTGAGGTCGACGATGGTGAACAAGCCTCCCAACCCCCAGTAGATGAGCATCGAGATGATGAAAGAGCCCCAAACTCGGATGGTAAAGGCATCGCCCCCACTCACCCCCAGAACCCAGCCCCACCCACTCGACAACCACGACGAAGGGTCCATGTTCAAACAATTCCAGTCACCAGGTTTAAACAACAGAGAGTTTAAAGTACAGTCACGTACTCAGGGCACGTATTTACTAAATAGAGTCGTCCACTTCAGAGCACATGATGCAACTCTTAATTTGCATAACATAACAGTCATTATTTATTATCAGCTGGACTTTATTACTTATTTGGTATCTGGACTTTAAACCGGACAACAAAAAATCCAAGTCTATCAATGACATGCAGTTGAACCACTTCACAACATTCATTCTATGTAATTACGCTGTGTAATTCATAATTAGGGAGTTTGCATGAATGTTTCCGTGGACCCTGAACGTGACGTAGAACCGTAGATTTTGAAACTACGTCGACGTTGCGTTGTGACAGTTTGCAAATTGACGTCCGTGTCGTAAACCGTAACGTAAAAATGCATCTTTTTTATACGTTGCACGGTTACGGAATTATAGTTTGCAATTCCACAAATAAATAAATACGTAATTATGTTTTCTATTCTTCCAATTTTTACTTTACAATTTTTAGTTGTGAATTATTTTAGAATTATCAACAAAAGTTTTTGTTTAAATTTCAAAACCCTTCCCAGCATTAACTTGACGGAGATAAGCAACCTGGGGGCGGTTGCACCAGACACTTTGCACCCCACACTTTTCATTTTTAAGCTTTTTTTAAAGATTGTATTTCACCAAATCCGAGTTGCATTTAGAAAATTAGTTCAACTAATTAATTTCAACAATTTCAGTCCTTCTTCCACATCTTTCTAATTACTAATTAATGCCAATTATAAAATCGTTAACCAAAGTCCTTGGATTAGTTTATCTTAATTAATATTAATAAATTCATCTGCAAAATGCACCGATTTTACTCTCCGTTTTGTCCGTTTCGGATGCAAATATTGCAAATTTCATACTAGTTAAATTTTTGATCGATTGATACTTTGTTAGAAATCTGTAAGAATAGGTGCGTTAGGAGACCTCCATTGTTAGTCAATCTAACACTGAGGAGGTGTGAGGTGGTTATCGCCAATTTATCCAGGGGTTTTCCAAAATGCGAATGTTTACGCCAGTTACAGAATTTGAAAAAATCAGAATTTTTCAAAACGCTGCCACTTTTCGAATTTGAACAAACATAATTTTTGATAAGAAGTACTATAAAAATTCATTTTATAAAATTTTAAATATTTTCATGCTATTTCTAAGTTTTTTTTAAAACGCAAAACCGTTAATTTTTTGAAAATTATAAGTTTTTTAAATGGGTTTTTTATAATTTCAGACTAATTCTGAGCACAAACTGTGTATAATTTTTGAAATCGGGTTAAAATTCGAAAGTGACAGCGTTTTGACAAATTCTTATTTTCGCCAATTTTTTTAAATTCCGCTACGGGCGAAAACATGCGCATTCTAAAAAAACGCATAAATATGGGTCGGCATATTTCTGAGCGTGACAATTTAAAATTACTCCTGTCAAAATCGGAAATAAACACGTAACACCTCCTCATTGTAAGTAAATTCAAGCAATAAATAACTAATTATGCAAATAGTGAGGAGATAAAGTCAAATTATTATTCTTAATTGTCATAGTATTGCTCCTAACATATTAAAACATTCGAAAGAAAGCTGTTAAAATATTTGTTTAAGGTTAAGGAATTATTTTGTATATGTATTTATGCTATTATTTGAACCAATTTTGTAGAAATTGTTGAGTCCGTAGAACGTCCGTGAAAATTAGTTTTTCACGTTGATTTTTAAACGTAGCGACAGAGAAAACATCGTAAATACGTGAAAAATTACGGATGTCTTACTACGGGTCACGTTGCGTGTTTTTATGCAAACTGTCGCCCTCCGCAACGTGAAGACGTGAAAAATTTCCGTGAAAAGCTACGGAATCACGTTGCTACGTCACGGAAATTATTTACGGAAGTATACATGCAAACTCCCTAATATATTGGTCATATATACGTATTTAGCGTATGTCTGTTGGAAATATTGGTCATAATTGCAGACAACTCAAAGCATCCTTACACAGAGATATTTTATTATTACTGATGTGACATGCAATTTCTTACCCCTTCGACTCGCCCATCAAGTTCATTCGATATGTTAACCGTAGTGGGTGCGTCTCATAGATCTGTTCTATGCATAATATGCATTATATGAAAACGATTTAGACCAGAATTTGTGATTGGGTGGGTATAGGCTGACTGATTTTATTTTTTTCAAATTTTGGACTATGAATTGTCTTCAGATTGGTAGTATGATTTACAAAAAGGTAAAAAAGGCTCGTCCAATTCGGACTCGTTGATTGAGCATGGTGGCATTCGAAGCTTAACCGTGGTAGACAATTGGTGCGGCTCCGTGGAAGGTTCGGGTGTGGACAACGGCTGGGGCAGCGACGACGGCGTGGTGTGCGGCGTAAGCGATGGGGGCAGGGTGAGCAATCGCCAAGGGTGCGGCTCGGAGGACGGGGGCAGCGGCCACGATGGGGGCGGTGTGCACGACGGCGGGTGTAGCCAAAAGTCCGGCGTTGGCAACAGCCAAGGTGGCGAAGAGAGCAAGAGCGACGAACTAAGAAAGAAGGAAAATATTAAAATGTAGGGATTAATATTTCTGAGTTTGAGGGTTTTCTGCGTGGGTGGGGTTGCAATTTGGTACAATCGAATAGCTGACTTACGGAGTTCATGGTGAAGCGGAGTTGGTGTTTGGAGTTGATGAGTTGTAGTTGAGTGAGAATGAAGTTGATTGTTGGTATGAAGTCCAGTGAATCTGTGAACCCCTTTTATATCGCAGTCTCCAAGATAATGATTCCAATATGCCAACAATGATCATCTTGCAATAATATAATGATTGTGGTAAAAAAAACACTCTCAACGAGCGTCTCCACACTAGAGCTGGACGTAGGATCGTATTAAGTCTGCAATCTCATGCCAATTCCCATGCAACACACTTCCTACACTTATTCTGCTTCTTGCTCATCATCATCAGTTAGAGTCGGGGTGCAAAAAACTCGTGTTTCTTTGTTACCAATTGTTGAAGGCAGTCTGTTTTTTAGAGTTGAAAAGTCAGGAATTAGCGTAATGTGTAAGATCTGATATGAGATTAATTACCTGGTGGATCGTATGCGGAATTGCTGGATAGTTTTAATCACTTAACCAGTTTGGCCAATTCTGAGCAAGAATAAAGGCACAAAAACCGTTTCGAATTGAGAATGACATGCAACTCTAGAGCCTATTTTTATACTTGGAGAGTTGATACATATGAAGGGAGGTGTCTTGTAGATGGGTGTGGTGTGTGGGAGGAGGGTGAGGCTACAGTCTGAGGGACCCATATATGAGCCATACGTATTTCATGACATTGCCAAATTATGGGGAACGTGCATTAGAAATTAGAATGAACTGTGCGTACTAGTAAGTGTAGGCTGTACATATGTGTACATGTTGCATTGCTAATTTCCTGGTGTATGTAAAACTACGCTTGCGAGTGTATTCCAGTTACAGGTTTCAAGGTGAGATTTGCTCTCTGATCACAAGAAATGCGATGTGACTGACTGAGGATGAGAGAGTCTCAACTTCCCTGTCTCACTCAACTGGACTGATGTTCGCATGTGCTCAAACAATACGTATGCTTTGATGACCAAAGAATTTTCACATAGGTAATTATTTCAGCAATAGCGTTTATACGTTGTTATTATTATCATCTGCTTGTAACTCACGTTTTGAGAACTATTTTGATAATCTCACATTGCCTCACTGCAACTTGTATTGTTTCATATAGGTAATCTCTTTTAGCAACTGAAGCCAAAGCGTGATGGCGATAGGTCTGGACAATATATATTATTTTATCTCAATGTTTGTTTTGACGTAAGTTGGCCTATGAAATTTAAGATTTGCTCCAACTTGTCTCGTTTTTGGTTTAGGTCGCTAAATAAAAGTTTCTTCCTTGTTTTATCAACGATAAACTTTAATCGCGTTGCTTTCTCATGATTCAATAGTTTTTATTTATAATAGTTAATATTAGTCGTCAATGATATCATAGGCTGGAGTCAGTTCAATGTGCATGAAGATAGTATTTTCCACGAGCCCTTGAACAACAACCCCAAAAATCATAGTCTTCTCAGCAATTAACACATTATCATGATGACCTTTGTACCGTTGACAGCATACCTGATTTCACAATGCTCCCCCATCCAGGCTCGATTCTCTTTGAGAGCACAGTTGCAGCCTCCACTGGAAAAAGTGACCCAGTCTCGACACTTGCACCCCGCCTGCGGAGCTTTCAGCGAGGAGATGAAGTAGTCGATGGCTTTCATGTGGTGACACCCGCTCCTCCGCGGCACACCCCATTCTCGCAACAGGCTCAACTCGCAGCCTGGCTGCTTGTGGCCGCCATTCGGATAAAAATCTGCGCCTTCACGAATAATAATGAGCATTTGCACATTTCAATCAATTTAATACCTGAGTTTTTATTATAAATTTCGACTAGATTACACACTTCCGCTGCTTAAAGGGGACCCAAACTCGCCTTTGATGAGCTGACCCATATTTGTATGAATCACGTCAACGAAGGCCGCATCGCTAGAGTCGAGACGATGACTGAGCGGCATTTCGGATGGGAAGCCTGTTGGGTGAGGTTGTGCAGCAATTAAAATATACAACTAGTTATCTCGTTATTTTATAGACTAGGGTCATGCCATACCTGGTCCAGCAGGGTCAAGCCCGCTGATACGACCCACAAGTTCCTCCGAGTTAGTGGAGGTGACGATAAAGTGACCCGAAATTGCTGCCACGTGTGCTCCCAGACTGAATCCGACCAAGTGGACATCGGCGAAGGATGGGATGAAGCCAGCCAGACGGAGAAACATCAGCACATGGATAGAATTAATTTCATTATATAAATTTTTCTCGAAAAATAAAACATTTCATTTTTATACTGTTGAATCAATACATATTGACAATTACCAGAAACTCGCCCACCCTCCGACCCACCTTCTCGGCGTACAGGACAGAGTTGAAATACAGAAATTCACGAGATAACGCGGACCAGTCCACAACCACAATGTTAGCGGGACGACTTCCATACCAGTCTAGATACGCTTTTCAATTGCCCAAAGGAAAATTTAAAACACTTGATATCAGTTACAATTACCAACGAATCCATAAATCTCGGAAATAATTAGCAAACAATTAGTTACCATCTTTGAGCGGTCCGGGAAAGTCTTTGGAGGCGATGCTCATGCTCCAGCCATGAATCAGAACTTTAACTGGGTTGCCAGTGTGGAAGGATGACGCGTTGACACTGGCGATGTCATTCACAAAGAGTTCTTCAGGTAATCCCTCCTCGCTTCCTCTCCCCTCCTCCCCAGATTCATCCCCACTGCTATTTAGAAAGCCAAATAAAAGAACAATACGAGTTCGATACGATACGATATGCAAAAACTGATGATTCGACATGCAAGTTTAAATACCTCTTATCCACCCCACCACCTCCTCCGGCATTGCTCTCAGCACCCCCACCCGGACTGCTGCCCACGACCACTGGGCTGGGACTCGTGTAGAGGTAGAAGCGAACGTTGTTGACATCCTTGTCTGAGAAGGGAAGAGAAGGAAGCATGGCTCCAAGCTCGAGATCCTCAATTCTCGCCATCGTCTCTACGTGAAAAGAATACGGATTAAAATCCCCCACGTTACTTCATTGGACCTTCAACGAAAATCAGCGCACTCACCGCTCAAATAGTTATGGAGGGAGATTTTGGAGGAGGAGGAGGAGCTCAGCTCATCCTGATTTCCACGCCAGGCTCGCCTCATGGGAGGAGGGAGGAGTGGAAATCCAGGCAGAAGAGAGAGTGGTATGGGCAACGTCGCCCAACACCACGAAGGCCCTCCAACCACAACCCCCCACAAACCCAATGTCAACCAAGTCAGCCTAATCGACCGCCTCATAATTAATTGGCAAGAATCACGCAATACAAGCTGATGGCAACTTTGAATTCTAACGTGCGAATGTGTGTAAGCAAGCTACTAGGAACAAAGTTTAGTTTAAAATGTGGGTGAAGATCCCGTTGTTTTGCATTACATAAATCATGAGCAAAGCCGGAGGAAATGCATTTCCGTCGCAAGAAACCTGATTCCCAAGCATGCAGATTTGTATTATATGATGTGTACTCGGTGCAATTTGTGGTGTATCATTTCTCGGACTACATTTTCATAGCGAGAGAAAAAATGTTCACATGCACAGATGATATTGCTTATTGCAGTTACTTATTTATTCGTATAATTGACTAACAAGATCATCTGGTTCTTTAAACACTTAATGATTAAACGATTATGAGTTGTAGTACTGACGAAGGGTTGGATCCTTTGGTTTAAGTATGCATCGATCCTTCAAGCTTACAACCCAGCCCGGTTCTAAGCCAAAGAACACTTGGCGGGGGTCCTTCCTGAGAAGAAGCATTTTTCGTTCTGGGTCCTCCTCTATATTGGGCAAGTCGTAGCCATACTTTTGAGCGAGGACGAGTCGTTCTTCTGCCACACGGTCTGGGTCAGCCAAGTAGCCTCTGCAACAATCATTGTAATGTAATCCCAATCAAAAGGATTTAGCAAAGTGCTTAGCAATTAGAAATATCAGTGTACCGGAATTGTGGGCTTGTGTAGAAGGCGATAGCATCTTCTGGTGGAGACAACCTCTTTGGGATAGGCAATCCTCGTTGGAAGAATTTAATGGGATCTCGGGCTGCAATACAACTTTCTCTATCATAGTAGGCAGTGGTTATGACCCCTCCTGCTTTCTCCACAGCAGCTATCACTGGCTCTGTAACCCACTGCACCTCAATGTTTACTTTGGCCTCAAACTTGTCCATTCCCTACAAATACCAGTTTAAGTTATTTTAACTTTCATGTGTAGACCCATGTATAGAAGAACATGTGGTTGACCTCATCCGTCAAATGGAAGCCCCAATGTTTCTCTAGTGGATCGAACGTGAAAATACTAGTGGCGCAAATTGCAGTGAGGTCGATGGGCTTAGATCCATCTAGTCGTTGCGTATCGATGAGAAGTTGAAGTTGACCCAGGCTGATTGGAGGATACTGGCGACGGAGACTGCAAAATAACAGAAAAAACGAACAAGTAGTTACTTAAAGTCCAGTTAAAACGGAACGGCATGATAGAAAAGTAAGAGAGAATAAACTCACTGGTGTCCAGCGTAGTAAAATTCTCTTGACGTTCTCAGGTAAAATGGGACTTGTCCACCCTCCCAGCCTAACCGTGGGTATGACATTCTTTGATATGAACCTTTGTGCGGACCCCGGTGTCTTCTCCCACCGTGCTGACCACGTCCACGAACATACTGTCGAGAAAAAGTGTAAACAATTAGGTAGGGTCTTTTTATATTCTTTGAACTACTGCATGCTTACGTGGTCAGCTTTCTGGAGTTCTCCTTTTAAGTTGGCGAGGGAGACACGAGGGAGGTTCCGGATGGCGGCCAGAGCCCAGTCAGTTCCGCTTCGAAGGGACATCCTCGCGATAACGTGAGACAAGCAAAAACTAACAAATAATAGTGAACAACAATCTTGTCTATTTCGCTTTCAACTTTGGCCTTTGGAAACTGAAGAATGAATTCTGAGGATGAGTGATTGTTTAAACCTGTTAATTGAACTGGTTAATGACCTCTGTGTTGTAATTAATTTCTATTTTAATTAATCTTTAGTAACTTTTATTTGTCAAAACCGGCATAACCAAGTAAATAACCATCGAGCAACCCACACACTGCTTGTCTCAGCAACATGCAACAAGACCGAAATTAGGCGGTGAATGCAGCTTGAGTGCGAACGTCGTTCACATTTCACTATCGCGAATCGACGTTATTTTCTTCCGGCTAATAAAAAAACAATTGAAATTGTTCTTTTCGTGGTAACAGTGACAGAATTTTGGAGAAGACCCACTAAATTAGCAGTTCATCTCGATACAATCGTCTCCAACTTTTCACCGAAATGGAGAACAAGGAGCAGGCCCTTCAGCATCTTGCAACTTACATCGCCCAGACCCTCAGTCCCGACCCGGCGGTTCGGAAACCAGGTAATTGTCTTTTTGGTGATGTTTGTATAATTATTCTGCATCGTATATAATATAGTATACACTATTTACTACAAATATTTGCAATTTTTATATAGCCGAAAAGCATTTGGAGTCCGTGGAAGGGAATCTAAACTATCCACTCCTCCTCCTCCACCTGGTTAACACTCAAGCCAGCGGTGGTTCTGATCCAGCTATTCCTATCGCTGCAGCAATTGCGTTCAAGAACTTTGTTCGTCGAAATTGGTCACCTGTAAGTAAATAAGTCGAGCGCCATCACACAATCTAGAATGAGATGGCTATAGATTCAAATAATATGTAATTTGAATGTTCTTTGTTTCAATGCTTATTTTATAGGATGAAGATGCTCCCAACAAGATTCACGCAACGGACCGTGAAGCTATCAAGGCACAAATTGTTGAGCTGATGCTCAAGTCTCCTGAAGCAATTCAACGCCAATTAAGTGATGCAATCTCTGCCATTGGGCGGTATGACTTTCCACAGCAGTGGTCAAGCCTTATGCCCACTCTCGTAGCGAAATTAGGAGGGACAGATGACTTTCACGTTATCAACGGAGTGCTGCAAACTTGCCATTCGCTATTTAAAAGATACCGACATGAATTCAAATCGGACAAACTTTGGAGTGAAATCAAGCTGGTTTTGGATTCTTTTGCGGCTCCTCTCACCCAGCTTTTTACAACGCTGATGGGCTTAGCGAAACAACACGAAGGGAACAAAGCGGCTATCACTATAATTTACAGCTCCATTCTCCTCGTCGCCAAAATATTCTACTCGCTCAACAGCCAGGTGATTTAATAAAAATGTCTTCATACATTTTGCCGACATCATCGAATTATAATAGAATACACTTTTAATACTAACTGATCTTGTTAATGTTTTCAGGAGATTCCAGAATTTTTTGAAGACAACATAAAAGTCTGGATGCCTAATTTTCACATTCTCCTTACTACGGATAATCCTCTTTTAAAGACAGGGGTAGGTCAATGGAGCAAACGTATAAAGAGGGACAAACCAGAAGGATGTGTTCGGGACTGTTTAGAATTTGTTATGTTTGTTATTACAGGAGGATGAAGAGGCGGGGCTACTGGAGCAGTTGCGGTCTCAGATTTGCGACAATGTTGGAATGTATGCTCGGAAGGTGCTAACAATGTTAATATATTTCATTAAGCAACACATTTTAAAATGTTCTATTTATGCTTGAAAGTATGATGAAGAGTTTGAGGAATTTCTACCTATTTTCGTCACTGATATTTGGGGTCTTCTGGTCACGACCGGAGCTCAGACAAAGTACGACATGGTATGTAACTGTTTAATATGAACTTGAGCTAACCAACAAAAGCAAACAAACGTATATTGCTAATATGTTAAACTTGTGTTATTTTTTCCAGCTGGTCAGTAATGCAATTGGATTTCTGGCACTGGTAGCTGAAAAGGATCGCAACAAGGCACTATTTAACAATCCGGAAACAATGAGTGGAATTTGCCAAAAAGTGATTGTGCCCAACATGGAATTTAGAGGTGAGTTTCTCTCAGTACTATTACGTTTCGTAGTTTAACTGACCCGTTATTTGGTATAAAATGTAAAATGTAGATGCAGACGAAGAACTGTTTGAAGATAATCCGGAAGAGTACATTCGTCGTGATATTGAAGGATCTGATGTGGATACGAGGCGAAGAGCTGTATGCGATCTGGTGCGAGCCCTCTCCAAGAACTTTGAGTCTGAAATGACTAGTATTTTTGGAGCATATGTTCAAGAAATGTTGGTCAAGTATGGGCAGAATGCAAGCCAGGCTTGGAAGAGTAAGGACGCGGCCATCTATTTGGTCACTTCCATCGTAGCAAAGGGACAGACAGAAAAGGATGGTGTCACTAAGACCAACTCGCTTGTCAGTGTCGTCGACTTTTATAACGCGCACATTCTTTCAGAGCTTCTAAATCCGGATGGTGAGTTGAGAGAGCATGAAAATTCTATCAAGAAAATACGAAAAAATAAAGATGACGTACTAACTAATTTAATTTTACGTGTCTTAGTTAATCAGATCCCAGTTCTTAAGGCGGATTCTATAAAGTATCTCATGATCTTCCGGAACCAACTTCCACCCCAAACGATGAAAGAAGGGATTTCTCACTTGGTCCGCTTCCTTGGTGCGGAGAGTACTGTGGTGAACTCGTACGCTGCGAGTGCCATTGAGAAACTTCTTCTCCTCAAGCAGGCAGATAACAGTCCCCTGTACGCTCACCACATATTACATAGCTATATTATTATAACAGTTGATTTACATGGCTAATTCGATACAAAGATTTGATAATTATCTCCTCTATTACTGAATAGGATCCAGACTGGAGATTTGGCTCCGGTAGGAGCGACACTCATCTCTGGTCTTTTCAGTGTCTTGTCCAAACCCACCTCAAAAGAAAATGAATATGTCATGAAAGGTAGGCTTCTATAATATACTACTACTGCATATACCATACCATCACATCAGGGCCTTTACATATATGCAATTTTCAATTTTCTCAGCCATCATGCGGTCCACATCTGCTCTGGGAGATGGTGCAGCTCCTTTCATGGGCGTCATGTTACCCAAGCTCTTGGAAATATTAGTAGGAGCAGCGAGAAACCCAAGCAAACCTCACTTTAACCACTACATGTTTGAAACCTTGTGTCTCTCGATTCGTATCCTGTGTCGGAAGAACCCTGCGGCCGTGGAACAGTTTGAAGTTCATCTCTTCCCAATCTTTCAAGGGATCCTCCAAGGAGACGTAGTTGAATTCATTCCCTACGTCTTTCAAGTCCTGGCACTAATGTTGGATTATCATCCAGCGGGGAGTGGAGTTACTGAGCCCTACATGTTCCTATTCCCCTGTCTTCTGGCTCCTCCACTGTGGGAAAAGAATGCAAACATCCCTCCATTGGTGCAACTACTGAAAATTTATGTCAAGAAGGGAGTCGCCCAAATAGTAGCGTCTGATAAATTGGTTAGTAGTATAATGTAGTATAAAATTTTCTCGTTGGATGGAATACACCTCTAATTCTGTTTCTTGTAGCGTTTATTTTTCATGAAAACATTTTTTTCTTGCCAGGGTGCAATGCTGGGAGTGTTTCAAAAGTTGATTGCCTCCAAGTCCAACGACCACGAAGGATTCAATCTTATTCGATGTTTGGTAGACAATTTACCACCTACAGCGATGGAGCAGTACCTCAAATCCATATTTCTCCTCCTTTTCCAACGTTTGACGTCCTCTAAGACGGTCAAGTTTGTTAAGTGCCTCCTGGTTTACTTTGCCACGTACATTAACCGGTATGGAGCAGAGTCCTTCATCGCGATGATTGACAGCATTGAGCCTAACTTTATGGCCAAAGTTTTGGATCGTTTATTCATCGCAGAGATGCAGAAAATCGGCGTGCCTTTAGAAAAGAGGATTGTCGGGGTGGGGGTTACCAAGTTGTTGTGCGAGTGCCCGCAATCTATGTTGACGGGTCAATATGCTATGTATTGGTGAGTGCTGCTGCTGTTGACATTACACTACATTCGTTATTAATTAATATATGCTTCTAAACTTCTCTTCAGGCCTCCACTTCTTCAAGCCATCATCCAGATGTTTGAGTGTCCTGAGGATGTGAGCATACCAGACGATGAAGGTCATTTTGCTGAACTAGAAGAGATCTCCAGCTACCAGGCTAATTATTCCAAGCTCAACTTTGGAGGAATTCCACCGGACGATCCGACGAAAGGTAGGGAATATCAAGGAAATATAGAATATATGCTATTTACAGCACCAGGGCATAAATTTAAACCCACCCGTATGCTGCGCGCCCCGATAACTCAAGCTTATCAGTAGATTTTATTCAGCCATCGGGTTTAGGTTTATGTTGTACAGAATTTAACTGGCTTTCCAACGGTACTACATTTGGTTATGAAAAAACTAACGGGTATGCGTAATTAATCATACCAGAAAAAAACACAAAAAAATTAGCTGCAAAAGTTTAAACCCGCTTCTTATTAAAAATTGCTTCATGACGAAGGGGGGTTAAGGCATGGGTTTAACAATTATTTACATTCATCCTAGGTACTCTACTTGCAGAAAAAGCTAAAAAATGGGAAAAAATCGGGAGTTGACCATTGCGATTACAAATCATTGTAAATCTCTTCGAGCGAGACCTGGGGCACATAAAAATTACTGCTACTACCAAATTTAACAAAAATTCAATTAAAACAATGATTAGGAAATAGAACAATATAGTTACTGTACCAAATAATCCTAAATCGGGACGGCCAACAGTCAAATCTAAGCGAATTGACTCAAATATTGTTCCAAAGGCAATCCAAAATCGTGGGATGGCACTCCAGAATTTGACCTCCGACAGCAAGGGGCATTGTGAGATCCAAATTAGCGCATGAATTGTAAAGAGGAGACCCCATGGACCAAGTCCCAAGTGACGATGAGTTCGAAAAAAAATGTGCCTACCTGTGAAAAGCTTAACCCGAAGCCTGAAATGGGCTAATGAGCATTTTGGATAAACCACCCAAAACTGGATCAAAGTATCATGGTCGGAAAAAATAAAACTTGGTATTTTAGTGAATTAGGGGGTAAATAATGTTTGGGGGAGACCTGTAGAAGGTCTTAAAAAGCAACGACTTGTACGCAACGTGCAATACATTCATTTTCCAGATTCAAGACATTTCAGAATGCTCATTAGCCCATTTCAGGCTTCGGGTTAAGCTTTTCACAGGTAGGCACATTTTTTTTCGAACTCATCGTCGCTTGGGACTTGGTCCATGGGGTCTCCTCTTTACAATTCATGCGCTAATTTGGATCTCACAATGCCCCTTGCTGTCGGAGGTCAAATTCTGGAGTGCCATCCCACGATTTTGGATTGCCTTTGGAACAATATTTGAGTCAATTCGCTTAGATTTGACTGTTGGCCGTCCCGATTTAGGATTACTTGGCACAGTAGCTATATTTTTCTATTTTCTAATCATTGTTTTAATTGAATTTTTGTTAAATTTGGTAATAGCACTAATTTTTATGTGCCCCAGGTCTCGCTCGCGGAGATTTACAATAATATGTTATCGTAATGGTCAACTCCCAATTTTTTCCCATTTTTTAGCTTTTTCTGCAAGTAGAGTACCTAGGATGAATGTAAATAATTGTTAAACCCATGCCTTAACCCCCTTTCGTCATGAAGCAATTTTTAATAAGAAGCGGGTTTAAACTTTTGCAGCTAATTTTTTTGTGTTTTTTTCTGGTATGATCAATTACGCATACCCGTTAGTTTTTTCATAACCAAATGTAGTACCGTTGGAAAGCCAGTTAAATTCTGTACAACATAAACCTAAACCCGATGGCTGAATAAAATCTACTGATAAGCTTGAGCTATCGGGGCGCGCAGCATACGGGTGGGTTTAAATTTATGCCCTGGTGCTGTATGTGTGTAATTCAATTCTTGCTATTTTTGATGCATTTAGAATCTATTCCGGACCCCAAAATATTTTTGGCCTCGAGTTTGTCTAAATTGTCTGTGGGTAATCCTGGCAAGGTGGCCCCACTCGTCGCGTCGATTGCACAAGAAGCTCAGAATTTTTTGGTAAAGTACGCTTCTGTTGCGAATGTACAAATCGTCTAATTTCTTCATCAAACTTTGCATATATTCCGTATTTTAAAATCGTTTGTTGTAATTACTCCAATCTTAACCTGGTATCATTTTTTAAGATCTTACTATTTAATGAAGAGTAAGATTTATTGTATAACGAATAAAATTGCAAGGTGTGTACCCATAGACTGCGGGTATGACACAGTAGGCGAGTTCAATATTGTGTGTGATGATCTTAAATGTAAAGTCTTCTTTATTACTGACACGTATACTGTATGAACGGAGTCATATATTTGTGAGTACGCACATTTGTAAGTTAAATAAAATTCATTAAATTGATTACGTGGAAAGGAACTTTTTTTTTCATTTTGAACGTCACATAGTCTATAAAATTTTGCTTATGGGCATAAAGGCATAGGAAATTTATTGACATGCATGGCAGTATTTAAAAACGTAAGTTGACCTATCATCAACTCCTCCGTCCGTTAATCTGTCGAAATCCACCTTTGGGTACCCTATCGAAAAAGAGGAGTCCTGCAGCTCTTTCTACTGCATCCAGGGGTACCTGCAACACGCCACACAACAAGAAGTAATACCCAGATTAATTAGTCTATCTGTTATTATGATGTATAGGTAATAATTGGTGAGACTATTACGCAAATTGATAATTGTATATGATTTTACCCTGAAAGCTTCGAGCGGTGCCTTGTCATCGATGGGAGCATTGGGCATAATGTAAGCTTCCAAGTCCAATTCTCCTCGTCCTTCTCCAACCACCACCTTAAAAAAGTGCGAAGGGACTGCTACATTGTTCTTCCCTATTACACGATATTTGACCCAATAGTGGCCACCCTCTCCACGCCTGCAAACAATAATCACCACAAATCACAAAAAATGTATTATAATAAAAATGGACAAAGAAAGAGTGTTGTGTTGGACGAAGACGTCACTTACTGCGGAAGGTAAAGAGGTCCTGTTATGATCATAGATAAATGAACTAAACAATTTTTAAAACGCTTCTATTGTGAGGGTGGTGAATTTTTTACCTGTGATCACCCAAACGTTGTCGTACCTTTTCGTCAATCCACGTACATATTTCTCGAGTCTATTCCAAGCGTCCCGATTAAAGCCTTTGCCCACCTGGAAGATTGTACAAACAAATGAAAGCGATCTGCTAGTGCATGAACGTTAGTTGAGAGCTGACATACTTGAGGGGCCATGTTGGAGAGGGCAAACGTTTCCTCCACCAAGGATTGGGAGAGGCGGTGATTACCCGCGGCAGCGAGGTGACCCCGATCCAACCCTGAACCCTATAACCAGTTGTAATCGAAGCTACAATAATACTTGGCGAGTATTATGCTAGGTAGGTCGCGGATAGAACTAACAGTACCTTGTAGTCTGTATTGGTACTTCGAAAGTATGGATGGATGGAGGTGTCCTATATAGGAAAGCCAATATAATTCTTATTGATATTACACGATAACAACCTACATTTCTATTGAATAAGATACCTCGTGGAATTCACACTTTGCCCGATCCACTCCTGGGTTGAATTTGACGGAGGATGATGTAAGGTGCTCGGCGACCCAGTGGGGAACCCGATTCCTGCGATCATAACTGACCACAAAATCGTTAAAAGAGCGAACGTTATCCATTCCAGGAAAACCCCACTTCATTATCTAGATAAAAATTTCCTCGATATATTTAATATATGACGTCTAATAGACGTCATACATAATCAATATTTTTCATTGGGTACCTGCGAGACACGACTTGGTGATGTTTTTGATGTGCCTTCCGACAACCATGTTGGTTCTTCTCCTTTGGAGGAAGAAGGGTCGAGCGGAGTTGCGGCAAAGTGTCCCCAGTCCTCTCCTCGACTTCTTTCTGATATGAGCAGGCCTCCGCCGAATCCAACCAGGCCAGCGCCTGCCAAACCACACAAGCGTCGAGCCAAGGTCCCCATCCTCTGACGAACCTTAGACCTTGCGACCTTAGTTCAGCCGACTTAGTAATGTGGCAATTTTAAGTGTTTTTAACACTACTAAATTGTAAAATATGAGGGAGAACTAGAGATGTTAATGTGAATGAGGGGATGTCATGTACGCTAACGTTTAGTTTTATGGTTAGTAATTTATAATTGCAAACTAAGTGAAGAAGGAGGTTTGCGTTTGACCGAAAACCAATTAAACCAAACGAAAGTATGGAATTATCGATGCCGATCTGATGAAGCCCAAACTTCCCGTTCCCGATGTCGGCTACTGAAAGTGAAAGTGCTTCAAGCTGAGATATGAAACTCCCGGAAATTGATGCATTGTAATCAACTATGCGTTCCAAAAACGTAGAAAGATATATGAATGCTGAATATAGTTGAATGAATGTTCATCGTCATCATTTTATTGTAATCTCAACAATTAAAATTAACAAATTTACAGTTGAATGAGCACCCACATACTAACGTACGAGGTTTTCACTCATCCAAGTTGAGAAATGGATTAACCTCGAGCTATTCATATAATCATAATCAATCAACATCAGCTAAAGGTCCTCGCCGTAAGTGGTGATAAGTCTGAGAATGGTGTCCATGTGGGTGGTGCTCTTGGGCGGATAGGCAGGCAAAACTAGGCGCAAGGCGTTGGGGAGTCCCTTGTAAGGAAGGGGTGCATAGCCCAGCAAGAGTCGACCTCCATCAAAAACCATCCGTTCCTTCAGCCCCACTGTCACCTGATAGTCAATGGTCAGCATAATTTTATTCATCAAAAATAGCCTCCAAAAAATCGTCTGATAGCATGTCACAGACAGATAAGTAATTGTTCGGGCTAAAATGCACCTTGGAAATTTCGCTCCACCATTCTTCATCCCGAGCGGAACCTCTCAGTCTGGGAGGAATATACCTATTCAAATCAACCAGAATCAAGTTCTTTTAAGCGTAATTCCTCCATTCAACTAAATTCATTATCGACTACGATTTTTCAGTCGAGAATCAAATTCATGCGCAAATAAATTAACTGTGCAAATAAATATCAAATGCCCACCAGAAGAAGACGTTTGTGGTCTGGGGGCCATCCAAATAAGGAAGAAATTCTTCCTTTCTTTCCGCTATTTTCGAATAAAAGTATTGTGATGCATCCTCTGCACTTTCAATCAGAGTTTGAAACCCATCCAGTCCTAACCCCACCCACATCAACCAAAGTTTGAACCCGTCCGCTTTACGCCCACACTGGAAACCTTGATCAGACAACAATTATATCCACTCATTGTGTTCCTGTTTAATGCCAGTCTCATAATTTCTCACTTTTATCCCCCAGACCATCCCAAGCTACCTCGTAGCACGACTTGTCCTGCTGAAAGAGATATGGTGCTGAGCTGGGGCCGAGAGAATTGCACCCCCGCAGAATGTCCTCGTGGCGACTTAGAAATAGGGAGCACTGAAGAGGAGCCCCCAACATTTTGTGTGCTGCAACGGAAAATACATTTTTCAAAGTTTGTTACTCAGACTCAAATTCAAAGAAACAAACCAAATTCAAAGATCTACTTGTTTATACCCACCATTCCAGGCGATGGAGTCTGCTCGCGATATTCCACGCAAATGAAGGCCTCTCAAGCGAGGAGAGAATATGAAAGAACCTCCCCACGCAGCGTCAACATGGAGCCACACCCCTTCGTCCTCACATACCTGCGTGCACATATATAAATAAGAGAAGATTTGAGAAGAATGTCTGTATTTTATTCCGATATTCTGTGATGCATCACTGACTGAGTACCTTTGAAATGGGAATGAGAGGATCAAATGCTCCTAAAACGGTTGTCCCTACAAGTCACATGAAGCTATGCTATATACATAAATACGTATTTAAATGAAGTACTATTTTCCCGGATGCTAGTACCTGCTGTGGCGTTGACTGCGAGTGGAACACGCCCACTTGCCTTAACTTCCTGAATGGCTATTTGAAGGGCATCGGGCCTCATCTCGCCTTCACGATTCGTGGGCACTTTGACCACATTATCCAAACCCAGACCCATCCAGACGGCAGCTTTAGACACGGAGTAGTGACTCTATTATTATTGCAACAATTTAGTCTCCACGAAATAGTGGACTATTAGCATGTGCATAAAGTTTCTTGGAGACAAACTCCATAATTGTGTACAGTAAAAGCATCACCTCTTCCGACGTGAAGAGAACGAGCGGTGGTAGTCCGAAGAAACCAGTCTCCTTTGCTTGTGGGAATTTGACATGCCGTGCCGCCATGAATCCATACATATTGGCGAAGGATCCCCCTGGCGCAAATATCCCGTCCCCTCTCTCAACCCCTTCGTAGAATAATTTTCGAGCCTCGCCAAGCACCATCCCCTCGGCCAACACGAAGACGGGGGCTGCCTCGAAGGTGTGAGCATTCGTGTTCATCTTCTCGACGAGGAAAGACGCAGCCAGACCAAGGGGATGTACGCCCCCATAAAGTTGATTTACCCAGAGTGGGTGTGACGTGTTGACGCAGTGGCGAAGGACGAACTTGACTGTTTCCAGCACGAATTCTGGAGGCGATCCATTTTGTCGTCCTACTTCCAGTCGACTCTTCAGCTCCGCAAAGAGTTTGGGTGGGGGCACAAATCGGACAACAGCATCTTTGTCCTCCGGCTCAGGGTTCCATTCCAGGATGGAACGTAGTAGGGGTTCCCACACAGTAGCAGCGTCGGTGATCGAAATTTCTTTACTGGACATGATGACTTTTTTTACAACTACTATGTACTATTTAGTACAGTACTATACATATCTCAATCCTTCAATTAAACCGTATTTATATTATTATCATTACTGCATTCGTACTTTTGGATTTTTCATCAGCTGCCCAATAACATCAATAAGTCACAGAATCATGTCAATCAATTAAGTTAGGTCCAACCACCACCACTTACAGTGTGTACATTATCATCATATTTATGTCATCGTTGAACACACGCTCAAACTTACATGCATACGTTCAATTAATAATACATAAATTATGTCATAGCTAAGCATCTGGTGATCTGTGATCATTGATCAAGTGTGAATATCTACATAGGTTTTCCCCAAGATTATAACGAATGTAAATACACATGTACGAATGTACATAGCGTCACCAGTTTAATTATTTATTTCATTGTTCATTCCAACTCCGATCCAAAAGAACAAAATATTTACTACGAATTTACTGATGTACATATGTATGTATGTACTTATTATATTTGACAGATTGCTTAAAATTACAATATACATGCCGCTTTAATAAATTTGGTTCACACAATTACAATTACTACTTTGGTTTGGGAGGTGGCAATTTGACCTCTTCTGTGAGTGATGGAGGTTTCCCACCCTCTCGAAAGTTGGGAAACTGTTCCCAAGGACTTGTTAAATCAAACTTGCGAAATTCTTGCGATAATTCCAGAGGCTCCACTACGACACGCTTCACTTCATCATCGTAGCGAACTTCCACATAACCAGAGAGTGGGAAGTCTCGTCTTTGGGGGTGTCCTTCGAAGCCATAATCAGTCAAGATTCTACGCAGGTCAGGGTGGTTGGCAAAGAAGACACCGTACATGTCCCAGATTTCTCGCTCGTACCAATTTGCAGCTTTAAAGATGTCATTGCAGGAATCGATTGGAGTCACTGAAAGTTAAAACAAAAACCCATAAATCTATGTACGAAGCCTTATAAACCATCTTTAAGTTAATTAATTTGTGGTAATTTGTAACTCTATGTTTGGGAAATAGTTGAAGCTATTATAGTTTTCTTCAAACTGTAAGAAAATAACATTAAACTTATGTTTCACCTTCATCGGTATATGTCTTGACACGAATACGAGAATTGAATCGCAAGGAGAGAAAATTGTAGATAATCTGCAAGTGAGAATCGATTAATTGGACATATTAAGATTAAGAAGCATTTCAATGAAAATAAATAAATAAAGCAATGAGGTTCGATTGTGGGTTCGATCCATAACCATACTTCAAATCGATAGGGACGAGTGGGGACATCCATGCCCGCAATATCGGTAAGATTGGCGAACTGACATTGATGATGGTCTTTGAGGAACGAGAGGACGGGGACAACGCCGTCCGGGGAAATTAACACTTCCAGCTCGTCCCCACATGCCAATTGCACCTTTTGAACGTATTTGGGCAGACACTCGGCCACATAGCCACCAAATTCTATCAGGTTCTGACGCACGGCAGAGTTCACTTTACGAACCGCAGCTGTAAATAATGAGCATTAGAATGAAAATACTGCATCAATTCTGACATGCTCGGTTAGGTTATATAATTACGTCGTGTTTCCGGTGGTGGAAGAGTTGGTGGCGTTTGACCAGGAGGTGGAGTTGAGAAGAGTCGCACGGGTGCCACTGCGGCCCCTCCAATCCTTAGTTGCCCAACTGTTATTACACAATTTGTAATTTTAAATTTGGCAATAAAATCTAGTTAAAATTCACAATTTCATTTTTCAAGACATCAAATTTTAATTACTTACCGCATTTTGCTGCTCTGGTCAACTGACGGGCCAGTGTTGGAGTCAACATTTTCGATTTGACAAAATTAGAAATAAATATCTAATGTTGTTACAAAACAAAGTTTGTAAAACACAAAGTCGTAAACCTAACTCTGTCCTCTTTCAAATCTGTAACAAATCAGTGAACTAGTGTTACTGGGCGGCGTGGGTGTGGTCGGTGTTTACATTTGCACCCAAAATTAAAATTCAATTAGTAAACCGGAGCTACTTAGAAAACAATAAACAATTATTGCTTCCAAGTCGGGCTGAGCAGAAAACTAGACCAAAAAATACGAAGGGTTGCGCCGATCTGTAGTGTGCCGAGTTTAGTCGTCTTTTGTCCCAGAAAGCCTGAGAATATTTGTATTACAATTTGTAATTTACAAATTTTGCATACAAATGTCAAATTGGAATTGGATGATTACATTTATTTACTATGATGATCTGGGACATTATTTATTTCACATGCGTTCAACCAAGCTTAATAATATTTTGACCATGAAATGTATCACTTTATTCTGTGCATGTAGCGCAGGTAAGGATCAGAGGATTATTAGAACTATCAAGTTGTATTACAGAGTACAGATTTATAGAAACCATGTGTGTTACCCACCCCCCGAAAAACATTATGAAACAATTAAAGGTAAAAGTAAATAATCTCACATCCGAATTTTTGTCGTTGCATGTTATCCAGTAAGAATTGTGTTATGTTTTATCCAAATTAGAAGAGGAGATCTATTGACACTGGACTTTGAAAATTAAACAAAAATGTTATGGCACCCAAGCTACCCTCATCCATGAAATACTCTTGCAGTTATGTCTCGTTAAAGAAGAATACAAGGGGGAGTTTAGAGACTCATTTGCATACGCATGGGGACAATGGAGAGTGGTCCAACGTCCATAGCGTCCATGTATCCTGCAAAACAATGATTAAATATATGGTATATAAATTATTTTATTTTGAAACTTAGCTTATCAAATGGTGCTCGGGACAAGTGACCTAAAGAGCTCGAAATATTCTCAATTATCTTTTACCGGCCATTTCTTGAGGCATAATGCTCCCTTCGTCAACTGCGGTACAAGGACGACACATCTAACCAGATTGAAGTCATACATATTTACCTGAATTTTTTCCTCTTTGGTATTAACATTTTTAACTGTTATGTTACTTACGCAATCAACTGGAGCCTTCGTCACAATCTAGTAATACAGAAATTAGGAAAAGTTATAATCAGGCATTTGATAAGTATCATTCGATACCTTTTGGACTTTTGGTGACCCTGGTGGAGCTTTAGGACAGGACAGTGTGACCTAAAAACATTTAAGTTTAGTGAAATATTATGGGATAGAACAAATGGTTTTATTAAATATTAGATCCCTTGATATAATCTTACCGTGGCTTCCCGTTCTCCTGACTCTTGACAGCACATGCACGAACGTTCCATTTGCCACATTTTAGATCCGGAAACCTTTGTGTTTTTATGTGGATTGATGTGAGATGAGACTTGAGAGCGAATTTAAAATACGAATTTATAATTATTTACCTGCACGTAGGAAGTGCACTTTCCCACACATGCGAATGAAGGGATCGTCATGGGGCTGCAGCCAGGCGTTTGGAGGACGTGGAGGACTGGCGTGATGCGACAATCGTCTCCAAGCACCACCCCAGAAGAAGAAAGCAGGAGGACCAGGCTCACCGCTAGGCGCGACGTTAAAATTACTCCTCCCACCATGTCCCAGCTGCCGATGTGGATCCGAATACCACAAGTCTCAAAAGAACCAATATTTTCCCAATGTCAACCCCTTTTATCCAGAACCCCAATTTCCGTCACTCATCCTCAGCTGGAGGCCAATGCATTTCTCTTGTTCTCTCCCCAGGAGGATCAAGAACAAGGGCAAAAGTGGGCTCAGAAAGTATCAATCCCAACCATTTCCAAAAAATATGCAGTATTTATGTAACTGTAATACTTAATATCGGTTCTAATCCAGAAGGATTAGATGAACTATTATTTATTTATTATGAATCAGTAATTTGGTAATAATAATATGATTAAGTATAACATTATTTCTTTAATGCATGTCTGTCTAGCCTACCATTGTCCTCTTCCTTCCTCTTAACCTAACTTCTTCCAACTTTTCAAATACTTCCTCCCCTCCCATCACATACGTTTTGCGATATGAAGCCAACAATTCTTCAAAGAACCAAGGAATGGAGGAGAAAGTGCTAGTCAGAGCACGCTCAAGAACGTACAAATCTACGCCCTTATCCTCTGCAGAATTCTCGACGTGGCTCAGACCAAAATCAATGAGACAAATTGAGGAGGGGTTTTTGGTCGTCGTCCTGTCTACCAGAATATTGGAGGTGGTGAGGTCACCATGAATGATTCCGGCAGCGTGAATCTTGGCTACCACCACGCCAATTTGTCTTGCTAGGTCCTTCAGGTCCTCTGTTCCATCACCACTGGGGATTTTCTTGAATAATAAGAACAAAAGAATCATTAAGAATGAACACCATTTCAAGTGATCCTTGCTACTTTCAATTTTTCCATATAAATAATATAATTATATCGGTACCTTTTGGAGAACTTGACCAATGTGTACATTCACTGTGTCCACATTCTCAATTAGTTCCATCACAATAGCATTTCGTTTGGTATCCACAAAATAAACAGTTGGGGCCCGAATGCCTAGTTTTGAAGTTCAAATAACAAATATGATCTAAGGGTTACTGATAAGCTATACCATAAAATGAGTTATTGGACTACCAACTGCTTTGGAACGTAGGATTCCCCTCAGCTCTCCACGCATCCGTTCTTTGGTGAGCCTCTCGTCCAGGGCGGGGTGACGATACGTTTTAGGGAAACGTTCCTTGACGATACATTTGCGCCCCAGGAAGAGTCCCGTGTAAATGCGACCTTCGGCCCCTTGGCGAATCAACTTGTGGCCCTCCACGTCCTGCCCCATGGTTCAATCACGGTATTGTCTTCCTCTCAACCAGACCGAAAGTGAATAATAATTATTGTATTGCTCTTTGCACTTTTGGCTATTTTTATGCGAATACGCTAAATTGTCAATTCTACATGATGTAAACATGGGCAAAACACATGCCACATGCGTTTGCAGTCGGCAGCAGGAGTAGAAAATATTTTAGAGAAACGAGGTGAGTTGAGACGAGCTACAGAGCTGTGTATAAATTCATGAGACGGGATCATGGTCTGAGGGAGGATGGGTTATTTTTTCGGATTATCTACTCAATTTGTGTCATGAACTGTTATGTTCTTCATGCTATTTAAATATGGTGAGAACAGCCACACATTGACTACTACCTATGACTCACATACATATCATCAAATCTTATTTATGCTTGAGATAATTATGTAGATAGCTTAGATGATTTGAAAGTAATTTGACTGCACACCTCGTCCAATAATTATTCTCAGTAAAGACCGGAATCAACCACCCTATACCGCACGACATTACACGGAAGAAGTCAGCGGTATGCGTCATTCGGAGACATCCGAAACCTTGGTATACCGGCAAATCCAGCATGCATGCGGACTATCGATCCATATTCAACGTATGGAACCCAACACGGTTTCCGAGCTGACAAGAAGCATTTTATACGACGTGTAATATTTACACATCTCTCTCTAGCAATTGATTCCACATAAGAAATAAGGGATAAGATAACACAGAGAGATGCTGCATGAGCATTGTTAATAGCATTAATAATAATAACTAGTGCACAGTGGCATTCATGTCAACGGGGCATACTATTTGCACTTACGGGTTTGACAGATTGCAATTATATCTCTGGTGCCTTCTCTGACTGGACTTGTGGAGTGTGCAACGCAATTGTATCGAATGGTCTCGATACATGTTCAATAAAATACTCAATTTTTCGTATTACGCATGCAATATAGAATATGTATAGTGGGTGTTTGCGCATACAAAAATCGAAGCATTATATTGGACTAATTGTGTGGTTCAATGCCCAATTTAGCATTATGGGTCGGAGGATATATTAGTGGGACGACTCCCACTAGCCGACGTGGACGTTAGGTCCTCCTGATTCCAATAATAATAATACGAAGAATGTCCGTACTCCCATAAGAATAATGGCACCGTGGATGACGGCATGTGAGAACATATAGCAATGCAGTGACACTGATTGAGAGTTTATGCCTATTGTTTGGCTACCTGTGCGCGTGTATTATTTACGTCCATCCCCACCAACTCAGTCCACATAAGACGGCAAGTGGACCTGCGAGGTCCTCACTTCTTCCCTGACGCTCGGCCAACTTACAAACTTCAAACTTTTGAGTGTACGACGTTTGTTTCGAAATTACTTTATTTTCAAACAGCATTGTGTGAACTTTGTACCACGATTGCGAGCTGGAGTGACCACGAAGAGACACGCTAATTAATTGCAGATCTTACCTGTTGTTCATTGAATTCGCTGCAACCGGTCAACGGAGGCATTTTATTATCATGTGTGGTAAGTCCCCATATTCACCAAATCGCTAAAATATGTCGATGGATATATCGATCTGTATTTTGCCAAATTATCATGCCGAATTGTTTCATAATGTACATATGTAGAGGTTAATAATACCAACTTAATTTAAAGGCTGAACTAATTGCACCGCAGATTTACAAGACTTTTAATTTCTTTTGTTCTTGAGTCAAGAATCTTGACTAATACTTTTGCATTGGTCAAAAAAATGAGTGCATATTTTCCATGTAGTTATATAAATATATGTAGGACTTGTTTGAACGAGAAGAGAGAGGTCATTTTTAATAATTTTTGAGCTGTACATGACAATTATGTTTAGCTAGAAAAAAGCGATGTGATTGATTGAAGAGGAAGTGCAACAGATACATAACTCTGATACAAGTGAGATGTGATTAATTGTGTTCAATGAGATCTGGTGCACATTGAGCAATTCATTTGGTTAGGAAATACATGCAACAATGAGACGAATAGCTACTTTTTCTTGCTATTGTTAGGTTATTGTTGTTGGTTGACTGTTTAGGTGAGTGTGATTGGGCGTGTCACCCAAAAAATCATGCAGGCTCATTTACATACCCAACTAATCAGACGCCGCATCAGAGAAGACAAGGGCAAAGAACTCATTATATTATTGTTATTATAAAATCTTGTGTACATGAGAGACATCAACAAAATCTTTTCATTGGTATTGCATTATTTCTTCGTCCTCGGCTCCGTGTTGAAATTGAAATGTGACGTTGACAAAAATACAAAAAGAAATCCACCCACACAAGATGCATTGCAATTCAGAACAGTTCTAGTTATCTATGCATTATGGAGTGGGTCATTATTTTCTCTTTTTCAATGTCGAGCACTAAAAGAGAACCAAGGGTTGTCCCTTCATTCACTACGGCAGGGCTGCTGCTGCTTGGTTTGGAGAAGGCTATTTATTTCGGGAAAAACCTTGCTCTGTTTGCATAAAGACGTTTTCCGCGACTATTTTCGTCCCAGAATATGAAATGATCAAACTTTCCATCACTTCGGATGAAAGAGTCCTTGTTTACACTGGACGTGTCTCCTCAGTAACTGCAAGGTCAAGAATTGTGCTGTATACCAACACCAACCAAAAGGGTCCTGCTATTTTTGTCCCAGTATAAAATATGACGTCCGAGTTTGTGAAGGAATTTGCATAAATCTTTGTGATTATTATGAGTGGCAGCTGAATTATAAGGCTTATCAATCAGTCCGTGTATCGTATATGCAACTATGTAGTTATCTTCCTCTCAACACCATATTGCGTCCCTCTGCCTCTTTCTGTATGTTGGTCCATTCTCACAAAACTGATTCAATTACTAATCTAATTATTTATTTACATGAATGAATTATTTGATAATTAACGTGATATCGAAACATGATGATGATTACGAATGACGCTGAAAATCCTTATCTTAATTTCATGCTTCCGTCAACTGTGTGGGAACATCCTCAAAGAGGACACCTTTGTGTGCATGCATTTTTATCTTGCGTCATTGCATTTCACAAAACATGACCACATACGCACTTTATCGTTTCACATTTAATTTGACAGAGTGGATTTTTATTTTGGTTGACAGGAATATTTGCGTACCTAAACTACTTGACTCCCAAGTCGAGGAAGGAGATTATCGAGCTGCTTATCAAAGGGTTGGAGCGCCTTGAGTACCGTGGCTATGATTCGGCCGGGATTGCCCTCGACACCTCCGACTCTGAGAACATCACCATTCTCAAGGAAACTGGGAAAGTCAAGGCACTGCAAAATCAGATTCTCAACAGTGAGTGCATCACGTGTACACACGTGCATTTACATATGCTCCATTAAGAATTGACATGCAAGTGACCATGCAACCTCCTAATAATTTAATTATGAATTTTGAATGACCTGCTTGCAGAGGGATATTCTCTCGAATTTGACGTGATTCACTCGAGCCATGTGGGGATTGCTCACACTCGTTGGGCCACTCACGGTGTTCCCAGCGCCGTCAACGCTCATCCCCACCGTTCCGACGATGACAACTCGTTCGTCCTCGTCCACAACGGCATCATCACGAACTACAAGGACATCAAGGTGTTCCTCATGGGCAAGGGCCATGTTTTCGAGTCGGACACGGACACCGAAGTCGTGGCAAAACTCATGGCTCATATTTATCAACAGCATCCGGACTTACCATTCAGAGAGCTTGTGGAGCAGGCCATTGCTCAGTTGGTACGAGATGAACATAACAAAAGAGCTGACAATTAGCTTATCAATATATTCATGATGGACGGTTGTCTTAATCTTATATTTAACTTAATTATCCTCGTAGGAGGGGGCGTATGCTCTGTGTGTCAAAAGTAGACATTTTCCAGGAGAATGTGTGGCTACTCGGAGAGGCAGTCCACTCCTGGTTGGGATCAAGTCCAAGACGAAGCTGGCTGCCGATTCGATTCCAATTCTGTACTCGAAAGGTGTGTTTGGGGTTCCTTGGGGTGGTTGCTTATGTGGGTGCGGTTGGTCGTGGAACAACTTTTACGCTTATCGACATAGTTAGTTGCTTATTGCGAGCTGCAACGAGATATTCATGGTTCTGTCTTTATAACAAGTTATAGTTAACCATTTATTTAACTAAGTAAAAGTACTGCCGTCGTAACAGCTCGCATATTATTGTAATCAGCTCTCTTGCACAATAACAATTAAGTTACAAATATATAATTTTGCTTTTAGCATTTTATGATTTTTAATTAACAATTTTGTTGAACATGTAAAAAAGGTCGTGTTGATTTATTTTTTTGTTAACTTTATGTGTGGTGTGGCGTATACTCGAATAACAGACGCACAAAAGGCAGGTGAGTGAGAAACGTTAATTCTCATCTCCAGAAATTGCTTGTTATTTCAAATTCAAGTTATATTTGTAGATTATTAATTAGTTTGCTGAGACATTGTATTTTAATGCTCTTTTGTGATCACTTTTCTCATCTTTCTCCTCATCTTACACATCTTCAGAGTCGACTGCTAAAAAAATCTATAAATTCTCTTGCACTATTTCTGTACAGATCACAGAGTTGTGTCCGTCAGTGCAGGGTTGCAAATTCCTGCAGGAGACTTTCCTCGTGTGGAATCAACGTCCCAATTTGGACCACTTGGCGAGGACAAAGAGGTTGAGTACTTTTTTGCTTCGGACGCCTCTGCCGTCATTGAACACACGAATCGTGTTCTCTATTTGGAGGATCACGACGTAGGTGAGTAAAGAAATTACTTTCTTCCGCATGTTTGAGTGGCATATGAAAGCAAATGAATGCAATGCCTTTATTTATATTACTGATTACTAACTATTTGGTTTTCCCTTTCAGCTGCCGTCAAGTGTGGAATTCTTTCCATCCATCGACTCAAGAGGGGAATTGACGAGTCGCACGCTCGAGAAATCACCACTCTGAAGATGGAGATTCAGCAAATCATGAAGGGCAACTACAGCTCTTTCATGCAAAAGGAAATTTTCGAACAGCCCGAGTCCGTCGTCAACACCATGCGAGGACGTGTGGACTTTGAAAAGGGGACCGTGGTTCTTGGAGGTTTGAAGGACTACATTGCTGAGATTCGTCGCTGTCGTCGACTCCTTCTGATCGGATGTGGAACGTCATATCACTCTGCGATTGCGACCAGACAGTTGCTCGAGGAGCTCACAGAGTTGCCCGTCATGGTGGATCTGGCCTCGGACTTTTTGGACCGCAACACTCCCATTTTTAGGGATGACGTCTGCTTCTTTATCTCACAATCAGGTGCCAGTAATACTTTTGTTACTCTTACAATTAGGGCATTTCTTTTATCACCGTTATTCTTGCGAAAAGAGTTATAAATATTTTTTACTACATAGGCGAGACGGCTGACACCCTTCTGGCACTTCGCTACTGTAAAGCACGTGGGGCCCTTATCGTTGGTCTGACCAACACCGTAGGATCCTCTATTTGTCGCGAATCCCATTGCGGAATCCACATCAATGCTGGGTAATCGTTCGACGTTCTCTGTTTTTTTTGTGTTCTGAATGCAATAATTTTCCTGATTGAGCATGAATTCGGCTTGCTACCAGATTGCCGTGTGGTTTAAATAACACGAAATTGCTATATTTTTCTACGAATAATGCCAACGCAAAAAGAACTTTTAAAGTTCCTTTCGCGTTAGCACACATGAATTGGTAATAAATTGACATTTGGCAAAAAACATGATGATGCTAACGAAATTCCAAAATTCCAAAATGTGTAGTGAAAAACCTAAATTTTTAAAACAGACCCGAGATTGGAGTGGCGTCAACGAAAGCCTACACTTCCCAGTTTATCTCCATCGTCATGTTTGCGCTGATGATGTGTGAGGATCGGATTTCCATTCAGCCCCGTCGCTATGAAATCATCCAAGGGTTGAAAATGCTTCCCGACCTAATCAAGGAGGTGCTTAAGGTGGACAACAAGGTTCAAGAGCTGGCCAAGGAACTACACCAACAAAAGTCGCTCTTGGTGATGGGACGAGGCTACAACTATGCCACTTGTCTTGAAGGAGCTCTGGTAAGCGTCGGAGGACAACTAACAAATTCATAAACGATTAATCATAAATTTATCAAATGAGAAAATCATGTGATATCCTGCCTACTCATATGCATCGATAAAGTATCAGTAAAATATCATTTGTGACTTGTAGAAAATCAAGGAGCTGACGTACATGCATTCGGAGGGGATTTTGGCCGGCGAGCTGAAGCACGGTCCTCTCGCTCTGATTGATAAGCTTGTACGTAAAATATACGTAACTGCTAACGAGTCGCATTTAATCCAACATTACATGACTTAAAGAAATGAATTGTATTGTCAGATGCCGGTCATCATGGTTGTGACTCGAGACCCCGTCTACTCCAAATGTATGAATGCACTTCAGCAGGTGATTGCTCGGGAGGGGCGCCCAGTTCTGGTTTGCGAAGCGGGCGACACAGAAACGCAGGCCTTCTGTCCAGGCAACTTTTTGGAAATTCCTCACTCCGTGGACTGTCTTCAAGGCATTCTGACCGTCATTCCCATGCAGCTCCTGTCCTACCACATCGCTGTTCTCCGCGGATGCAATGTCGACTGCCCCAGGAACCTCGCAAAGTCCGTGACAGTGGAGTAATAATAAACTGATATAATTATTACTTACGCCTTTTGCTGCAAAATTTTTGCCAAGATATAGACACGTCTACATACACACGGGATTTGGCCGTGTATACATATTTTAAGCTTTTTAACGAAACATGATTTTGAATATTATTACGAAGTACATTGAAATTGTATTTTTATAACCGATTAGATTACTACCCAATTTAACAATTAACGTTCTTTTATTATTTGATGCATATTCAATCGAATTGCAAAAGGTATGCGAGTGACATTTGTGTATTGAGTGAGATGAAAACTATTGTGTCGTGAGTATCCTATTTTCAAAATTAATCACTATTTCAAATGCTATGATATGGGAAATCAATAAACAATAAAATACCATACAAATTTAATTATAAAGAAGCCGAGTATTTTATCATATTTGATGTTATTTTTTATTTTGTCAGATTTATGAAGTTTGCGAACACTGGTTATAAATTGGGCGGAACTAACAGTTCCATTGTTATGCTGGAGGTGCTCCGCATTCCTGCATTTCAAAAATAATTATTTTAGTCATCATGAGAGGAAATAATTAAATGTGAACACGGGATACTAGGGAAGTATAATAATGTTTTTCAGAAGGACAATGTTTTGGACCAAACTGATATCATAATAAATTTTGAACATATCTATTTAGGAAGCTGTGATTTTTTATGGGTCGAGCTGTCAAAACTGAGTTCATAGTAAATCCCCAAACATAATCTCGACGTAAGAAATGTATGATATCCAATTTAGAAATCAATGTTTAGGGGTTTAATACTTGTGGGGTCAATCCGTGGCGCAGACTTATGGAAGTTATGATCGTATTTCGAAACGAGCTGTTTTAAGTGTACTATTCATATTTTAGTGAATAATTTTAAAATACTGGGTTGTGTTTCAGAGGTCAGAGCTCACTTGAATCATTCAAGTGCAACGTAAAAAATTTCTTCCTTTTGCGCAAACCCATTAAAAAACCAAACAAATGCTAATGAGAAAATTATAATACAAATTGTATAAATTAACGAATCGACCTAGAAAAAATCACAGCTTCTTAAATATGTTCAAACTTTATAATTCGCACAAATTGGTCCAAAATATTGTCCAACATACATTTTGAAAAATATTATTAAACTGCCCTCCCACACATAGCATATATTTATAACAACATACCTTAGCTGCTGCTTCTTTAATGCAAGCATCAAACTTTTTGGCCTCTGGACAATCGTCTACCAATTTGAATCGTTCTGAAATTGAAAATGTTGAACAATTACAAAGTCGAGTTCAATTATGGGGAAAATGGTTCGGAGGAATAACTTACGTCCAGGATCCACTCCACACTTCTTAATGGCTTTCGTTTGAATTTCCACAATCCATTTTTCGTTATGGATGCTGGGATCTGTCTCGTTGACGGTGTTCAAGAGGGGCGTTGTGGCGACGTCGTAGTTATATTTTCCTTCCGAGTCCACGATTCCCATCTGCTCCGCCACGCAGATAGCGACACACTAACAAAAAATATTTTATCAAAGCGTTAGTCGCGTCCTTATCTTTTGCCTATTGACATTCGTCCATAAAACTCACCTCTTTGGTTAGCTGGGCTTTCCCTGGCACCGAAAGCGTGCACAGAGGGACCATGCCGAACGCTTTGTTGATGGTGTCCATGGGCAGATTGATCTTCTTGCCCTTGCACTCTGTAAAGTAGCCCAACTCCTTTTGCAAGTCCGAGATTCCAAAGTTAAAGTCAGCACCCACCCAGCACATCTACAAATTAGTACAAATAGACAAGACAAGTAGGCTTTAGTGACCTCATGTCAATACAATCCCTCGCATAGTATGTGTACTTACCAACGCGACGAGTAAGAGGGCAGAGGTTCGGAGGAACACCATTTTATATACTACACACTTTTATGATAACTTCTGATCCGGGGTACGACTAGTGGTTTCGTGACAAGTGATGTGCTCAAGTCCTTCTCAACCGAGCTTTATACCCTCGCCTTTTAATTCAAGGAAAATTAAATGGGGACAACAAGGAGACAATTGTTCCATTGTCGGAATGGGAGGTCGGCCTTGAGCATGGAATGCAAAACGATTACGTTACAAATCATTCGTGCCCAAGAATTATTCACTCCGATGACGATTTTTAAAAGCGTACACATGAGTGGACCGATTTTAGACAATGCCTTTGAAATTAAAAGGACGAAAAATATCAACTCTGGCGTCAAGATAGAGTTGGGACAAAGTCGCTGGTTTTATGGGATTAATGAAATAGTTTTTTTTATTTTATTTTACGATTTCAATTGACGTTGAGGCAAGAAATATGTAACAATGGAGTAATTGGAGTAATTTAGAAGCCGCGTTTGGTAGGTTGGCGTCGTCATATAAAGTATTTTATGTAATTGTGGACGTCTGAAGTTTGCATCGTTGTACTTTTCCTATATCAAGTCTACATAAGAGGCACGTCATCTTTTTAATCTCATCCATTTCGAGTATCCAACATAACAAAATTGATGTAGAAGAAGTAGAACAATATAATTTGTCGCACTTTTGATACTTGTACCCCGAGAGAAATGCTAACAATTTCTAATAAGTAATAATACACATGTATGGTATGCGTGCGGATAGTTAAGTTAGATGGCTAAACTAGATTTGGGGGTGCCTGTTGTGATACCAGATTGTGGGGTTTCATATAAAACTTTTAATTGTCCATTAATGAAAAACGTGTTCCGGAAAACAACGCTATGCCGTAGTCGGTATCTTCAACCTTTGAAGTTCAACGTCATTATAAATAAATGAACGCACATAAGCAAGTAGAACGATTGGGCAATTGGAGAAAATCTTATTTTCAACCTGTTGAGATCAATCAATTATTCTTTGACTCAATTGTACCACTTATCCTGATAAACTAAGTAGAATTCGACATTCAAATAATTTCTTTTGTTTAATTGTAAATGATTAGTAGATATTTATTACGATCGATTTGTTCATCAGCACGATAAATTTCAAACGAACCAATTTTAGCCCGAGTCAGGGCTTATGTACCCGTCATGTCCGTCTGTCTGTCTGTCCGGCACGATAGGGCCAAAACGGCTGAACCGATTGACTTGAAATTTTTATCATAAGCATATTGGACAAAGTTAGGAAACAAGTTCGAAGATGGGTGAAATCGGTCCAGTGGTTGACCCGGGGGGGTCATCAGAGTGGGTGTTGTATTACGCACCAAAATTTCAAAGTTGTCGTAGAAAGAGGGAATATATCTGTAGCATTTAATTTTAGATCTCTTCAGTTCCTGAAGAACACAAGCTAGAAGAGATATTTATATTACGCAAGGAATCCCGTTTTTTTTGTTTGTTATAGTTCTGCTTGTAACATAAAAAATGTCACAATGCGATTTAAATAAGTAAAACTGGTTAGTGTAATATTATTTTCCACTTAACCAAGATTGGTTTATTTAAATACGCGTTTGTATAGTTAATTACCTATCCTCGTATTTACATGAGTTTAAGAAGTTTGATTGCATATGATTGAGTTTAGGCAACAAAGAGAACGAGTCCTTCAAGCAGTGTGTTCATCGGAAATTAACGACTTGATTAAGTGTGAAGGGAACATTTTTTTAGGGGGTGTGCCAATTGAAAGTTCTCAATTAATTTGAGAGAGATGGCCTAAATGGAATGCGTTGTGGTGACGACGACGAGTTTGGTGGATGTTCCTCAGATGAATCCGGAGGGAATCCATCGGCGGTTGGGATTTATTTTACTTCATCCTTCAACTGACAACTTGTCACTTTTCATCTCCCACGCATTCACCTCGACAATTTCTTCAATTATCTCAAGAAATAATAAGGTCAAAGTTGACCACAGCACGGTCACACGAGCAGGGGGAACCATTCAATTCCATACTCTTCGACATCAGGGTCCAATTAAATAAAAAACACTTTACACTTACATTTTATGACTCAGTAACAAGATACGGCGGAAATACAATTCCTAAAAAACTAGCTGGTCACAATGGACGATAGTATCAGGGAATATACCAAGGTATCAGGGAAAAATCTATATCCACACTAAAAAGTTTGTTTTAATCTTTAATTTTGTGTTACTAATTAAATTCCAGGGCTTAATGGCCAGAGCTGCCGCCCGAGATGAAGTATTGAGACGACAAGAGAACCGTACACCTGCAAAACTGATATCGTCCACAGATTTGACCCTTCCACCTCCGAAAGCAGTTAGGTTTGCGATCCAGGACGAGAGCGATCTTGACGATTCATCCTCCTTAAGTTTTAATCAGGTAGTTGCTCCAACTTCACCAGGAAACAAGGAGAACTTGGCGAGAAGCGAAGAAGACGCCTCCAACATGGAACAATCTTTGGATGATGATGAGAACAATGACGAAAGTATGGACGACGTCAACAACGAAGATGATGAAGATGTTGAGGACAAAGAAGTTGAACACAACAAGAGGGATGCACATGAAGATGAGAATGAGGACGAAGATATGGAAGCCAACAACAGAGAGATGACAGACCAAGTTCCCCCACTTTCGATGCTTGTGTCGAAACCATTGGCTAGGACAATGACAACTTCAGGGCCCCAATCTGCATCACCCGTCTCGCGCAAGTCGCGATTGTCCGCACTCGCCGAGTCTATCAAGTCCTGGGAAGAAGAGGTACCTACTCCTCCTACAAAGGTTTCCGACATTACTACGGCAAACGCAAAGTCCACTCGGCCAAGATATTCGGTCTCCACTCCACCTCAATCGAATACGAATCGAATCGCGGCTTTGAATAAACGAAGCAGTGGGTGTCATCAGTTTGTCGCTGCGACGCCTGTAACGAGAAGCTGTTCCATCTCACCGGTGAAAAAACCCGGATTGGATCCAACTCCAACAAAGTATTTATTATTGATACACTATCAATGATTATTGTCTAAAATGAGCGTTATGAGATCTTTAGTTTCACACAGAATTTATATATGTATTTACAATTCTTTCATTTTTTTCAGACCTACGGCAAGTTGCGATGGGGGCCACAGTTTCACTGCGACGCCTACAAAGCGGATCATAAGTTCATCGCCAATCAAAAGCATTTCTTCCCTACAGTCTCCAGTAAAAGTGGTAGCCTCACCGGTCACTTCTCCAGTAAAATGTGTGAAACTGGATGGGAAAGAAAGTGATAAGGATGGGGAGCGTAAGTTGGCCGTGGTTTCACCATCTCGTCAAAATCTCTCAACAAGAAAGGCTACCGCCTCTCCTCTGAAATCTCTTGAAGGATTAGGAGATTCAGTAGCGAAAAACTTGGTAAAAAGCTGAAATATAAACGAATTAACGATTATAATAATGCAGTGGTTTTACATTACTGATAATCGGCTACTTTCTTAGGAATTTCAAGGTTTTGTCAAAGTTGATGCGAACAAAGGTTCCTCTGCTTCTGCGCCTCCTTCTAAGATCGCTGGATCAATTCTTAACAAGAAAAGAATGTTTGAGAAAGACGGCGATAAAGCTGCTACTCCTGCTCCAAAGTTGTCAAAACCATCATCAGCTTGGCCTCAAGTGGGGGCTACGGTTGTATCTTCCCTCTCGCATAACAAACCTGTTACAACTCCGGCCAGTAGCAACTCTAATTTAACCCCACTTCAGCAGTTTCACTCCCGCAAATCTCTTCAGGTTGACCCTTCCGAATTGACTGTTGCACAAAAGGCTCGCTTATTCGAACGACAACAAGAGGAGCAGGAACGACTTAGGAATAAAGAACAGGAAACCAACCAGTGGTTGAACATGGGTCGAAGTCGAGGCGCTCCCCCATCCTCTACAACAACTCAACAGAAAAAAATCGAGAGTGAAAAAGTTCAGTCTCCACAAAAATCCAATAACAGAGCATCAGCACCAACTGAAAAACCACAATTCTACTATTTTGGCCAACAACAAGATTCTGCAATTCCGCCACCACTTCCTCTCCCAACTAATAAAGCAGGGACTGACCAGACTCACAAGGATGATGACGATATGGACAGTAACTCTGATGACGAAGGAGGATTTTCACCCAATAAGAATAACATTTCACCATCAATGTTAATTGCCAAATCGGTCAAACCTATTAAAGTGTTGAAGAAAAATGATAAAATGTACCCGTCTCTCACGGACATTGAAAATACTGAGACCGAAGACAATGAGACAAACACGTCCAGCGTTGGGTCGTCTCCCGTTGCATCCTGCTCCTTTAATTCATCAATGTCTACTAGCTCATTGGGATCATTCATCCAAGGGAAGGCTGCAGAGTGCTCGGCAATGGATAACAACGAGGTAAGTAGTATTGAATTTTGTTGCTACATAATATTGACGTGATGGTTAGCCGAGAGGTAGTACAACTTAGTCATTTTGATCCTAGATTAACACTACGATGGCCTGTCAGCAGATTGACGACTTGATCGACCAAGCCTTAGAGGGACAGATTGTGGAAGATACCTTCATGATGGAAGCTCATGGCAGCAATGACCCTGCGAAAGGGTCCTCCCCCGTTGGGAAGCATGTTTCACAACCCCTTGTACACTCGGTCAGTATGTACAGAAGAAACCAACGACAGCTCAAAGTGAATAAGACGACTTTTGAAACTATAATTATTTTATCATCATCATCATTAATCATTATGGTTCATCATTTTATTCTGTTTAATTTTTAATTAAAAATTACACAGACGGATGGAGACTCTGCAACATTCAAACTTCCGCAAAATTTGGACTTGGTACCCGAAGAAAGCGAAATGAATGAAAAGGATTTAAAGGACAGAATTCAAGTATTGGATCAACAAGTTGCAATTCAGCACAGGGCAATCTTACAGGCAAGCAAGGCTCTCAACATTTGCGAATCTAGCTTCGAGTTTAGCAACTCGACTGAAAATATTGAGGGGGAACGTGTCCTTCTTGTGGCGAGTGAGTTGAATTACTGTTTGTTTTATAAAAGTTGACAAAAAACACTATCCACTAATTTTATTATTGTATTCCAGCCCAAAAACGTGCCCAACTGTTGAGTTATATTGGCAAGTTAAAAAATGGAAACAAAACGGACAACGAGGAATTTGTAGTATCTCCTTCAAAGGATAAATTTAGACCATCATCTTCGACCCGAGGCATCATGAAGATTGACACTATTCAGTTGTATTCAGTCAATTCCACTCGTCTCCACCAAGACTATGCATACCACTTTATTGTCCTTTTGAAGTACAATGAGCAAGTATTTACCACCACCACGGTCAAGTCGTCCGCAATTAACACAATTATTGAATTTCCGAGCGAATTTGTCATTCCAGAACTAGATCCTGGATTCAAAGTGCAGGTGGAAGTTTATGCTTTGAGAACTTTTAAAGATATGGACGCTATTCCCCACAACATGAAATATCATATTAAGGTGCGTTCCCAATAAACCTACTTGCAAACTTTTACACATATGTACGAGACGCATTACTTCTAAAATTAAATATTTTTCTACAATATTCTATGCTCTGCAGAATCCGACCAGGCCACAAAGTTCATCCTCCACTCCAAGTAAAACATCAACTCTTAGTCAATTTTTGACTCCAACGCGATCATCAAGACACACACCTAAAGCTACGGATTTGAAATCATCCACTCCAGCCCGAGGAGGTGCCACACCTTCCATTCGTTCTTCTAATTTTACTCTACAAGGTTTGCAAATTATTGTCAACATTTTGAATTACTCCCGTGTTGGCTACTCGTAGACCTTCTTAGATTGTAATATTTTGTTTCTCCTCGTATATATAGCCAAGCTGAATTTGAACCTTAGCAATCTGAACAAGACTGAATGGGAAATGACAATGGTTAATTCGAATCTCATCCTTCCAAACATTTCAATGCGAATAAAGTGCAGCAACAAAAATGAGCTCACTTTCAGGGGATTCCTCACGGTTTTCTCTGACATTTCTGGATTAGGGGCTTGGCATCGGAGGTGGGCCATGTTGGACGAAGATTTTCGTCTACTCTTTTGGACATATCCAGAAGATGAAGCGTCCGAAAAGGTATATATTTATATATGTATTTTTGCGCTTGGATTAATGCGATTATGCAACTATAGATCTAATCAATCGTTTTAAATTCCAGCCACCAGTGCTAACTCTTGACCTTTCGACGTGCATGACGCCTCGGATTTCACCCGCTCCTCGAGATATTTGTGCACGACCAAACACGTTTTTATTAGTTACTACCCGAAAACCACTGCCAACGGACAAAGATTCATTGGTCATGTCAGTCAATGAAAAATACACGGCTATCAAAAACATGTATTGTTCTGACAGTAGGAGCGAGCGTGATGCTTGGATTGCTATAATTAACAAGGTCCTCACAAATATGAGGGCCTGGGGAATCAATTCTTCTGATTCTGACTTCAAAACTGATTAATTTTTACATACTCTTCTCTTATATGTTTTCAAACATTACGATGCTATCAAGTCTTATCGACCAAACTTATTTTCTGCCATATTTCGAGAAGTGTGTAAAGTTATAATTTATACATGTTACGATAGAATAAGTCACTTAACTTTTTATAATTGTACTTACAAAAATGCTTTTTATACACATTTGATTTAAACCCAGACAGTCAGGTTCTACTTCCTGTATATATTTCTCTTTATATATTCATACGTTCGCAAAGTAAAAACCTATTGTCTGTCTGCCAATGTATGCTAATAACTAAATAAAACACTGCTCATTGTTATGTAAAATCAGTAAAAACCATTATATTATTATTATTGGTCTTCATCTATGTATCTTAAATTGCTTATTACATTCCATGCTGATTATTATATCCCTAACACATACGCATGTGTACAAGCTACTAGCATTATATTGAGGGAGATTACCTCATAAAATGCAGGGAAGTGCATTTCAGGAACAAAAAACGTTTTTTCTAAATTATTAAACGCAATCATCACATCACATTGAAGTAGATATTAAAGATATTCGTCGTCGTTATTATTACGTAAAATCGGATGTATGCATGCAGCACTTAATTTTCTGGACATAAATAATCGATCACCACTCATTCCTAAATCCTAAATATAGTTTGATATTTGTAATATACATAATCAGTCGTCTGTGTCGTCCTCCTGGGCGGCAGTAACAGTCTCAATCTCTGACTGGTTTACGGATCGAGTAGACTCATCCGCAGCAATGCCTGAATCGTCTTCATAAATGGGCTGCGAGGAAACAATAAGATGAGATGATATCTTCTAAGCCAATATATTCTAAGTGGTATAAAAATATAATGAAACGTACAGACAGCATTTCAACCATATCCTTGGCATGTTTTAGCATTTCTTCCAATATTTCATTTTCTTTTTCTAATTCCTCAACTTTTTGACAAAGCCCTTGATTTTCAGTAAGGGCCTCCTCCAAAGCTTGACGGCGCGTTTCAGCCAAATCTTTCCAATATGATGGAGGAGGCTCGTCTACCCAACAAAGGAATACCATTATTATTAACTAATAACTGTGATCGATTATTTTATGCACTTGAGAACAGTTACGTAGACATACCTCCTGTGATCAGTTGTAAGTCGGGATGGTCAGTCTGCACTTCTTTATCAACTGTCTTTTCGGTGAAAATCGTCACCGTTGATCGGTGTTTACCAGAAGCAGGTATTGGAGTTGAAATTGGGGTAGATGTGCATGTCGGTTTGGTCAACGGCGAATTTGGTGTCTTTGGTCGTGAGGTTGCAGCCCCACCAAGTTTCTTCACTGGGGAAGAAGAAGCAACCACCGTCGCGGAAGACTGACGACCTAACATTTTGCCGCTGATGCTGTTTTTACGAGGTGGCTGAATTGGAGTAAGAGCTTTTCGTTCAACGACCTTTGGATTAGCACAACACACATATTAGACAAAGACATACTTTTAGTGGAATTCAAATAATTAACCTTTTCTTTTTTAGGTGGACTGGGAACTGGGATGAGAGACTTGCGCGGAGGCAACCGTTTACTTGCAATGTTGGAAGAAGATCCCTCTGTAGATTCTTGCTGAGAGGACGCCACTTCTGTGGGGTGCACGTTTTCCTTCATGAGTCCGCCACCTTAGCTGACGACTGGTGAGTAGAATAAAACATGGTTAGTAAATTCTTGAAAAATAAATCTGGTTACAAATAATAATTTTGCAAAATTCGCAAATGTGAATAAACTCCTAAACCATAAATCAACCTTGAGAGCAAATACTTCAGTCGTTGGGATGAGGTGGACGCGGGACGGAATTTATGGAGCTTATCAGCAAATCCTTCTTATCCTCTAGGTGTTTTATTTTTAGGTTAACGGTAAGCTACAAAAACGAATTGTTTATTGGAGATTGAGCTGAATATTATGCGAATGCGAATGTATTGGATGGAGGGAAGAAACGAAGTGCGTGCACCAAGTCCCGCTCCTCTCATTTTGAAAATCCCAGCGCGCCTTCTTCCTCAACGCATAATAACCACAACAAAAAACGGACCGTTTAAACTTGCAAATTAATTAATTATGATTAATTTCATTAAACTATTTCACTAATTATAGCCAGAGTTCAAGTCAGTCATATAATAATCACACATTTGTCTAAATCAAGTTGAAGGGATTAAAGTGGAAATGATGAAGACCGATGCAGTTTTCCATATTGAGGTTGCAAGGAAGATCAACAGGTATTATTAGCTATTCTATGTTCTATATGTTTTGTAACAAATTGTTATTAAATAAATTGATTAGTGGTTGATTTAATATTTGTGCTCTTCTCCAGTTCTGAGAAGCGGTCTAACCTTGAGACATTAGTTAGGACGGCGTTAGAGGAGGAGAAAGAGGAGTTCATTTCATGCTTTAACTATGATGACTTTCTTGCTCGCCACCCGTCCCTGAAAAGCCATATACAATCTATTCGAGTATATGTCGAGCACCAAAGTAATTCCAACATTCGACTGACGGCGCAACCATCTTCATCACCCCAGAAAAGGAAAACCCCTGACATTTTTGCAAAGATTAGCGTATAAATAGATAACTGAAATGTTAAAATTGATTAAAAAATTGTTTTACTATCTTGTGTCATTATTAGAAGGACCTCAAATTGCGTATCAACCTTTACGTACATGATTTGTGCAAGGATGGCGAGGAGGCAGAATACATGAATGATGAAGAGAATGACCAATCTGCTTCGTCACACCATTGGATCCTCCCTTCTGCAAGTTTCGATGGATTGTGGGATACACTAATTTTTGATGATAACGTTCAATCGAGGGTGTGTACGTTAACTTTATAACAAAAGTGTCTAACGGTGCATACCGTTAAAAAGATATAGATATATATCACATACATGCATGTATGAATGCTGATATATTAACATTTTAAATTACATTTATTTTCCTTTTTTATAGCTTATGAAGTACATTAACTCGACACTACTATTTTCAGAAAAGGGGGTAGACACAAACCTCATTTCTTGGAACAAAGTAATTTTACTTCATGGACCTGCAGGTACAAAGAGGCTTGACAATAGTGATGCATTGATCTAGATTTGAATTGGATTGTGTATAGGCACGGGAAAAACATCATTATGCAAAGCTCTCGCACAAAAAGCTTCAATACGACTTGGGAGCCGTTATATGTACGGACAGCTTATTGAAATTAACAGCCATAGCCTATTTTCAAAATGGTTTTCTGAAGTGAGTTAAATTATATTTTGGTTAATGTGGTTCGTAGGCCACAAATATCTAAAGCAATATTTTAGTGATGTACATTTATCACAGAGTGGAAAATTGGTCATGAAAATGTTTGAAAAGATTCACGATCTTGTTGAAGATCCCAAATGCATAGTGTTTCTTCTCATTGATGAAGTTGAAAGTTTAGCTCAGGTGATTAAATATAACTACAATTACAATTGAATTGTTATCTGAATAGAATCATCATATTGCTTGTGGGTTTTGATTATCAAATAGTGTCGTCAATCTGCTGAGGCAGGAAACGAACCTACTGATTCCATACGAGCTGTCAATGCATTACTTACTCAGATCGACAGAATAAAAAAGTAAGGCCGTCAAAAACATTGGAAGTCATATATGTAATTTTGTTCCTATAATTTTACTTAGATTTCCCAATGTTGTCATTTTAACAACGTCAAATATGGTTGGATGCATCGATTTAGCATTTGTGGATAGAGCTGATCTCAAAATCTACATTGGGGCTCCTCCTGTCGATATAATTTATAGAATATTAGCTTCGTCAGTTAATGAGCTAATACGGGTATTTTTTACTTGCATACCAAAGATTAGTACACATTACGTAATGCGATATATTATATATTCCTATGTAATAACAAAGGTTGGAATTATTGACTCGAAATCTAAAATTTCCGATGACGTGGCTGTTTCGAATAGGAATGGAGGGGAAAAATTGTTAGATTCCTCAGCAGCCAAGCTTTTAGCTATTTCCAAGTGAGTGATAATGTGTAACGTGATGGGGCAGTAATCAGAATGATACATAGGTATCATTCTGATTAATGTTTGTTACAATAATGATGATTGCAAACTGATTTTGTGATGCTTGGTTCCTCCAGACTCGCCAGCGGTATGAGTGGAAGAACGTTACGCAAGATTCCTTTCCTGGCTCATTCAAATTTTATGGCGTCTACAGTAGTAACTGACCTAGAGTCTTTTTTGGATGGACTGGAAAGAGCAGTAGAAACTGAGATGAAAGAAGTGGAAGCTCTTCGGAACAATTCTAAACCTATTCTTATATAATTATCTGTAGCATGGACTGAATAAGGGATTGAAAATAATTTGAACCGAGTTTTTTGTACTTGATGATAATTCGTCGTTATCTAAGATAAAGACTATTTCATTAGTATAATCAATAATTGATTGTCAGCTATTATTTGTCAATTTATCAATTATTAAAATCGCTGTGATCTTAAGTTTGTATCACATGATATTCTTAAAATAAAAATTAAATGAATTATTAAGATATCTGTTGGTCTTGTTGCTGCTCCTCACCTTCAGATTCTGACTGGGACGGTGGTAGGTCAATATGATCTAAAAGTAAGCCGTTTCGCAATTTAAAAATTGAAACTAAAAACATTACTAATAAGAAATAACGTACCACGATTAGCTTCTCTTTCAGCACGCAGTCTATCTAGCGTTTCATTCTGCACTTTGACTACTTCATCAGACGAAGCACATTTAGAGTAGGCATCAATGAAGTCATCATTCATCGTCAGAAAAGTTTTCCCCCATTTGAATTTACTTAAGTAAGCTTCAGCTAAATCCTTGTATCCTATGAACAAATTACCACATTCACATACTGATTTAAACCTATTTACCATTAAGTATTAGCACATGATGAACGAATGTTGTAATGTACAAATTCTTACCACAAATGACCATGGATGCTGCCAATGCCTCAACACAACTTAATTTTAAAGGTTTCCCAAAATTGATTGTATTTGCAGCAACAAAGAAAGGGAGCAATCTTCCGTGATGAGGTCGGTGATTTAAAATATTGCCAGATTCTGGAATTCTAGCCCATGAACAATCAATCACTGCAATGCCTCCCTCTTTCATGATGTCACAGTCTGCTGGAGAAAGGACCTGCGAAAGTAGTGTAAAGCAAAATAATTTTTCTGGCTAATAGTGTGTTCTTCTAAATTAAACTTTACCTGTGTTGCCAAAGGGTCAAGAACTAATCCCCCAAACTTATGAGATGGTCGTAAAATCGTGACCAGATTGTGTCGCGCCAATTTTCTTCCTGTACATTTTTTAGGATCACCTAAATATAAACCAACCGGTATTACATATTAAACATTAAGAAATATTTTAGTCAACAAGCAAATTCCTATAAGTAAGTAATATTCATTGACATACATTGACCCAAGTCCCACATTGCCACATTGAAAGGGGGATTGATTTTTGGCCATTTTCTCCCAAACTGATCTTCTTCTTCGCTTTCTTGGCTACTTTCCTCATCATCTTCTAGTTTAAGATTACCAAGCCTTTGACAACATTCACTTGAATCTTCATTATTGCTATCGTGAAACTTGGATCCCCTTCCTCGGCCCCCTCCACCACGCTTATCACCACCTTTCTTCCGATCTTTCCCTCCTCTGGAAGAACCAGCAGCAGAATGTCGTGGCATTGCTAAAATCAAACAACCATAACTAAATAAATTGTATCTAGTAATTATAGTTATTAACAACAACATATCTTACACGTTCTTCGTACTTGCAACACTGTACGTACTTATTACACCGTTGACCGTATATCGACGTTTTTGCAGCAGTCCAAACTTTGTTTTGTTTCGTCAGATGTTGTTGGATTTATTTTTACGGCAGGAACGCGTGCGTGGTGTGGGGTCTGTTTTTGCGGGTCTCTGCCGCTTTCTCAGTCACTCGCTCACTTGCTCCTCGTTGCTTCATCGCGAAACACACTAATAACCTTATTCCACAATTTCCACATCAAAACAAACATCCAGAGCACCAAATATAACGTACAGGAACTCGTATTCAAGAAATTAAAATTGACAGCAACAGGACCAGGTTTACTACTTTGTGTTTTGCACTTGTCAAACATATACAATTGGTGTATTTTTCAAGGAACAGTATAGCAAATCTTTCCACTCTTCCTTCACTCACCTTGACCAAGTGTGCAGTTTGTCTGAGATGATTCCAAACTTAAATTAAACGAGCGACTGTGACTTTATCAAAAGGATCAATATTAGTGATCTCCGTACGTGTTGATAACCTTGGCGTAAAAGTATATGGTGCTTATCACCGTCAGCTGTTGTTAAGAAGGAGGACGAGACTGCAAGATGTTCTTCTCCACCTGTTCCTCTATGATGACCGTGTATCCGAATGAGGGCACCGTCCCTGCTGGAGGTTTGTCATCCTCCAATAAATTTGAGGGTCATCACCACAGCATCGGAGAGCTCAAGTACAACAAACATCACGCCGCTCTGTGTTGCGAGATGTCCACCGCTCACTCGGCTCATAACTTGTCCCACAATAACCACACCCACGGCGGCGTGGTGAACCCGAAGGAATCTCATCTCCATCATCTGCCCTGCTGCCAAGTCCCGAACCAGTGTCTCTGCTGCAACTGCCACCCACCGCCGCCCCCACTCCCGTTCCACCTCATCCACCCACCACCGCACAAGAACAATGGAGGTACGCACGTTTACTTATGAGCCTGGCATATCTAAAGCATCTTGTTATTTGTACTTTATACCTATTTTATCATCTCTTGGTGGATAGAATAGAAATACAGGTTTTGTTTTCTCTTTTTGCTCCAAGTTAGAGTGAGTCATCTCATATTGCCTACACTCAATCCAGTCCGTCCAGGGGACATTTTTTGTTGCTTCTATTATTTCTTATCACTTAAATGTGCATTATTAGTACTTCATTGCGAGTTGTTAAGTTTATTGTATGGAAATAAGTTTTGTAAATAATAGGCAACATTCTCTCATTTAATATCAAGCCTTTAATTATGCTGCATTAGCACAATGAAGATTAAAATGCGTGGACATCATCATAGAATTCATAGGATCGTGTTACATGTCAAGAATGAAACGTAGACGCTAATATTGCATTAGTTTCATTTTATACGGAATGGCAATATACATAAATATGAAGGTTTGTCTTATCCTCGTGGTCTGGTTTGTTGTGTGATATGATGATGATACGATGACAAACGGGATATGTGGTTGTGGTACCACATCAATAATTGCGTTTTGCATGCAACGATGTATCGTATATGGTATATCTAATTTCATGGGGACGACAATGTCCAACACACCCATAGCTCAAGACCGATTGGTTTTCATCAACGATCGCATGTTAGACTGACCGACTTCAATTTTGGCCTAGCTACTTGTGCATATTTTTTGCTTATTATATGTATTATCATAAATTGAGGTATGGCGAGGCTCCCTTCATTTTTTTCATGGTTATACTGGTATTAATATTATAATAGGCTATTATAATAGCAATCTGCCTGCACTTCAATATTTATCGCTAATAATGCGGACCCGCACTGCACCATTAGTACATTAACAATGATTACTATGTGACTCATTATCAAGGCTCATCATTTTTTCTGCAATTCTTTCTTGGCATAAATATACACATGTACGAATGTCGTACATCTGTATGTTGATAAACTAACGTTAAACTTTATCATTTAACCACAAGGTGCATATTAAGCTATATCCAATCGATGGACATATTAAGCGGTATACCAATTAATTTAACTTTATAAAGTTATTTCAAAACTCCGTGCTTCCAGAAATACTTCTTTGTAATTATAGAGTCGTTTCCGGAAAAACGATGATTTAAGGTTGATGAGGAGTGATTGAAGTATTTATGTATTTACTTTGTGATAATGGTTGGGTGGGGGCCACGATTACAACGGAAATTAGACATGCAGAATAATGTTTCGGATCTGCCGATATATTAGTTAACCTTTTCCTTCGTAAGAGAATTCTCAATAAATAAATTTTAAAAAACAAACTTAGGTGAAGGACGCGCTTAAAATATTAAAACAAGAAGCATTACAAAATGTCATAATATCGTTTAATATTTATTAACTTTTACTTCACAGTGGGCCCAACTTTTTCATAATAATTAACAATAAATGTAACTAAACTAACGACTTGATTAACAAATAAGTGCACCGTTACAGGGAGAGTTACTAAAATATGCCAGAACATGAACAAATTTCCTCTATAACAGGTGTCGCGATTTATTGAAAGATAACCAATCACATCTTGCAAGCTTAATATACAAATACTACGTATTTCGAATAATTGTTCCAAATGCCTGAAAGTATAGCTTTTCTCCTGTATTAGTTGGGCCCACGGTGAAGTAAAGGTTAATAAATATTAAACGATATTATGACATTTTGTAATGCTTCTTGTTTTAATATTTTAAGCGCGTCCTTCACCTAAGTTTGTTTTTTAAAATTTATTTATTTAATTATTTTTAGTGATTTGTGAACTTAAATGCATAAAATAATATGCAATTATCGAATCTTAAAAGTTGATAATTCTCCTGTGGGTGGATGCGTGGTATACTAAAGTAATACCCCAGTGGGTGTGGACGTTTGGTATACTTATTTAATCCCCCAGTGGACGCTTGGTATACCAAATTAGTCCCGCAGTGGGTGTGTATGCGGCCCTACTAAATTAGTCTCCCAGGGTATGCATGCGTTAATATTTGTATTTCATGCAATTTGATCGCTGCTAATTGTTTCAGCCAAATATGCTAAACACACCTAACATTTTTCGCACACGTTAGCAACCAGTAACCTAATAACACGTAAATATACATACGTAAATAGGTTGCTTAATGGAAATATTTCAAAAAGCTCTAATTCCGTGAGTTTTCATCCGATTAAGTCCAACAAAGGCTTAAAATTTGCGTATTATCCAGGAGAATAATAAAAATGGCAAGCCCCCGGTCGGAAACACTTCCTTGATGCCAAGAAATGGATTTGAAACTTTAGGCATCGGACTTTCTACCTTAAGGAATTAAAATTTCGGAAAAAATAAAAAAAACGTATCTGTAAAACAGAATTCTCTGGTTTTTTTGTTTCAACATGTTTTCCATGCAACGAACGGTTTGGGCTACATCTCAGTGCGACCTTTTCAAAGTTGCAGCTGAATGCATACTTAGGCTTCGCCGTAACCATGGTGATCTTTTAACATGATCTCCTTTTGGTTACTTTTCCTTCACCTAAGAAAAATATCCCGTTGCTGCGGAATAGCAACGCCTCGCAACCTCAGCTTGGCGTAGCAATTTTTTAATTACCAAAACTATATCACGGAGCAAATGTACATTTTAGTGATATGTTCCATGGATATAGTTCCAAAATTAATCAACTTTCTGTGGAGGCATTTCATTTCAAAAATGACGTAATCATGGAGACATTTTAGCCCGAGCCAGGACTTATGTACCCGTGTTGTCCATCCGTCCGTCTTGCGTCTTGACCTTCGTGAAACTTATTCCATCAACTTGAAATTTTGGAAAAATAAAAATGACAAAGTAATAGTAAAAATTTAAAGTCGATAGGATAGATTTACGAGAGTTATTGATAACCAGACAGGCAGAGACACACCGGGCAAAGCGGGTACATACATACATACACAACCCCTGACTCGGGCTAAAAATCGGATTTTTTCAACATGAGTAAATCCATGGAAAAAATATTTTTTCAATGAGAGGAAATATCCTTCACTACGCAATAAAGTCAATGACCAGAGGAAAGGATATTTCCTTCTTTCCGTATCTATGCCGAATTTTGAGACAACGGATAAATCCGTTGCTCCGTCGCAACGCCTTAGAAATTAGGATGGAAATATCCTCTGTTCCGTCACAACGCCAAGTTTATGACGACGGATATTTCCATTGTTCCGCAGCAACGTTCGAAATTCGGGGACGGATATATCCATCGTTACGAACGAAAGGGTTAATAACTAGTAGTTATTTAGTTGGAAATTGTTGTTTTGTGCGTAATTTTTTATGTGCGTAATTTGTATTACATTTTTTCCACATAATCAGTAGGGGGCGGCTTCTTTATAGTTTCATGAACCGTATAAGTAGTAAACTGACCTTCACTTAGCTTGGCTCTCATGTTTTCATTCCCTTAATCTATGCGTGGTATATGCAGAGATGCATTGTATAAGTCATGAAATTTCCCTATTTTTGAACACTCAACTTTATCCTGCAGGGTGAAGTTGAGCGTTCGAAAACAAAAGTAATATAACTCCATTGGCAGTCGATGAATGTGTCACACAAAAGCACATTTTAACTTTTTATGTGCGTATCATTTAAGCATGTGGAAGGGGGTTAATGTCCTAAAGTCGAGTTTCTTTAAACTGTGACTGCTATTATGGCAGCGTCTGGCGTGTCGTGGTGGTGGTGCTCATTAAATAAATTTAACTGGAGTAGTGAATAGATAGCTGCTGCCGGAAAAAGGGGATTCATTTTACGTCTGCACTCTGTCTGACACGGAACGGGATAAAGAATTTGGACGTGAATGTGCAAATGGCATTAAATGACAATTTACTCCTCTCTTGATTACTTATCTTCTTCCCTACATCCATACCAATGACAGAAGAATAGACACACACATACACACGCAGCTATTTGATTACATCGACGACGACCGCACCACTGCAAACTGGTTGTCGACGGGACTGCCTTCCTTTTATTTTGCAGTTGCAGTAGTTTGTCGTAGTTGTAGAAGAAGACTGGATCGATCCCTGTATATTTTTCTTTCCGCATGCATCTCAACTCTACGACATATATCTCCCGACCACCAGGCTTTATCGATAAGCCGTGTTAAACGATGTGGATAAGAAGAAAGAAATGGAACGATCCGATCTAGATAGCTGGCTTGTTGACGTTTGCGAGGGATATTGGGCGGATGGAATCCGATGGAAGCATTGCTGGCTTTGTTCGATAATCATCATCATTCATTTAAAATCTGCACTGCAATGTGCCATTCATTCAGAGGTCGTTTTATGAATCATGTCAACATTCTTTTCCTTTCTCGCTGGAAAAGAAGTCTCGCACTGAAAGTCGCACTGAAAGTTTTGTTTTGTATATACTTTATGGATTACAGTTCCTCCTTCCAGTTTTACAAAGTCATCTGCAAGCAACATTCCATTTTCATTTTGTATCGCATCGTCGTTGTTCTCTCATGGACTGTGCCAAAAGCACGTGATCTATTCTAGGGGGGGGGGGGTAGGAGTAGGGGTCAAGACATCCTATCTTTATCTTTCCCATGCTAATTATAACATGGGGCATTTGACACCACGGGGGTCAAAATTCTCCGAAAATCCATCACATGCTTTATGTACGGCCCCTATTTTAGAAGTAGGAGTTGTATCATACAAGTTCCACTCCGAGAAACTGGCTGTGGACTAGATCTTCTGACTTGTGATTGTGATGCTGAATCCAACTCTCCTCTTTCTCGGTGTGTGTATGTGCCTACTTCAATTTGGTGCAAGATCCGTTTCATCAGAGAAAAGTTGTGCGTAATACCCGGGTGGGTTTGTCCTTGGCTGGCTTGACTTGGTTGTTGGCTTGTGTATGTGTTGGTAGCGGTAGCGAATGCAACCTCGTTTTTAACAAGGATGAAGATGACTCATTCATTCCCTCTCCAT